TCTCCTTTGCATCTTTGACCATGGCTATTATAAGACTTTTATCATCCACAATTACTATTTTACTTTGATTCTTCTTAAACAACAGTTTATAATCAGCTATGGTCCAAAATTTGCTTCTTTAAAAAAATATAAAAAGAACTAAAAATTTTTTATGTAACTTTTTGTTTAAAACATTGCTGATTTTCTTGCTTTGTTTTCCAGAGTCATGACAAGTATTAAATAAAATAACAAAGTTTATCTGATGTCTGCAGGATTTAAAAACTTTTAAATCCTGGCCCAAACTTATTTCACTACTGTTAAGGGCCGATTTCAAGGAATAAAATTAGTAAACATCTGATTCCCTTGTCATCTTTCTCCTCAATTTGTCCACTTCCACCCGATGCCCACCTGCCAGCCGTAAAACTCATTTGACAACTTCTTAAAGAAACCACAACATTTATAGCCTAGAGACTATATTTTGCTCAAGGACTTCCCAAGACAAACTGGGCCTCTTCAACCTTAGAAAAAAAGATCTTTTAAATAATTCTCACTACTACAGCTAAAATTCTGAGAATTCTGTCCTGAATTCATCTCCCACAGCTCAAGCCTACAAATCCTCCAGAAAAACCTGCTTCCACCCACAGCGAACTGCCTGAGAGTACACTGGGGGCTTATACCTGCCAGCCCATCATGGACAACAGACTCTGCTTCACTCAACAAAAGCCTCAAACCATGAGCTTTAATATGCTGTGGTACAGAAAACATCTTACTGTTCTTGTCCTCCTTCTTTTACTTCAAAGTATTAATACTTAACTCACATACCAAGACTATCCCTCTTTTGCCCATGCTGAGAAAAAGACTGTTGTTTCTTTATTGACTGACCAGAAAAAAAATACAGACTAACCTTCAAAACATTCTAAAAAAGGGCCAGGCGCGGTGGCTCACGCCTGTAATCCTAGGTCTCTGGGAGGCCGAGGCGGGCGGATTGTTTGAGCTCAGGAGTTTGAGACCACCCTGAGCAAGAGTGAGACCCCCGTCTCTACTAAAAATAGAAAGAAATTAATTGGACAGCTAAAAATACATAGAAAAAATTAGCTGGGCATGGTGGTGCGTGCCTGTAGTCCCAGCTACTCGGGAGGCTGAGGCAGGAGGATTGCTCGAGCCCAGGAGTTTGAGGTTGCTGTGAGCTAGGCTGACGCCACGGCACTCTGGCCCGGGCAAGAGAGTGAGACACTGTCTCAAAAAAAAAAAAAAAAATTCTAAAAAAGGACTAACACACTTTATGAACAAACCAACTTCTGGTAGATTTGACTGATAAGGTTTTAAATCCTGTCTGTGGCCATGGTTCTCTTGGTTAGCTCCTCTTAGGGCCTCTAGTAGATTTGCTTTTAGCTCTCATTTTAGGACCCTGCCTTCTCCACCGACAGCATTCATACAAAGCCAAATTCAAGCTCTCGCTGTTTCTCTTCAGTGAAACCCCCAATCTGCCTCTAACTTTACTTTCAAGACCTTCCGTTACAAACCCCCTCTCCCTTCATAATACAAATAAACTAACGGGCTGGGACATCTCAACCTCCATGTTCAGCAGGAAGCAACTCCAGAAGATGAGACATCCACCCATATTCCCCAGATTCTGAGTTCATTAAATAGAAATTTTTTTACTAAAGAGGGGGGGGAATGAAAGGTGGTCTTACCAATAACCTATCTAACAGAGGAAAATAAACTATCAAACAGAAAGTAAGAGAAATAAATTCACAACCACCCTTTGTTTAATTAAAACACATGTGGCCTAACTTGTTATCTCTTATCAGGAAGAAAGAAGAAAGCGCTTTTGTTATCGGTCCACTGAAGCAGAGAGACAGAGAAAAAAGTGGCCATTTCTACCCTTTGAAAGCACCAAGCAACTTTCCTCGTTGCCGGACATTTCTTTCCCCCTTCTGTGTGTCAAGGCCACTCTCTACTTCTTTCTTTCTCAGGAAAATAAACTTTTACTTTTGTATATCCTGTTCACTGAGAATTCTTTCTATCCCCCGTATGGATTTAACACCCGAACAGCTACTATGAATAACACTATGAACATTCGTGTATAAGCTTCTGTATGGACATTTCAGTTCTCTTGGGAGTGTGTATATATATATATATATATATATGCACACCTAGGAGTGGAATTAATTTTACGTTTAGTCCTTTGAGGGCGTACTGGAATGTTTTCCAAAGTAACTATGCCACTTTGCATTCCCACCAGCAATTTTAAATTTTTTAGACAAACATGGACGCCCTTGGCCTGTGATAACAAGGAAAATCAAAGGCAGCGCTATCTCTTCTTTGCTTTGGCGGGAGGGAGTCAGCGGGAAGAAATTAAATGGGTGGCGACAGGCCCGGCCGGTTGCCCTGGCGACCGGAGGGCGCATGCGGTCCCGGCAGCCCCCGCGCGCTGCCAACGGCCGGCGGGGAGAGCGCTCATGCGCGCGAGGGCGCAACTCCGCTGGCGTTCCGGGCGAAGCGCGACGGGCCCGCTGGTGGGTGTCAGGGTCGGTGCAAAGCACTGCAGGCCTCGGGGCCCTAGTACAGGAGGAGGTTGCTGCGGTGGGTGGGAGGGGTCCTGGATCCTAGTGTGTGAGGCTGGATTCGCTTTCATCCGCTTTGGTTATGAGGTGTTTTCCTGCCGTCCTCCCCTCACCAGTCCAGACCAGGTGCTGACGGGGTGAGGCGAGGACACGGTCCCCATCTGTTCCAAGTGAAGCAACACTTGGGTTCTTTAGACTATGGGAAGAGTTCGTGAATTAGAATTTTATCCCTGTTCACTTATTTAATGCTTTTCCACAGGCTCCCATCTTTACCGCTATTTAAGCTCTTTCCTTGAAAATGCTTCCGCTCCCCAGCCCTACAGCTTTACACGGTGGCACCCAGACTTTAGCCCTAGTTCTTCGAAGCTGCTGAGCTCCAGGCCCTGATTTACGTCCCCCGCCCCCTGCTGCCCCCCACCCCGCCCTTAGATCTATCGGGGCGTCCCAGGGGCCTGTCAAAGTCAGGTTATCTCAAATGAACTTTTCCTTATCTCCCTCCCCTTCTCTCTGGGGGCCACATTTCCATCAGAGCAGCATCACCCACTCACACCGTGTTAAAAATCTACTTACACTTTGACTACTTTTTCTTCCTTATATTGTACAGACTGGTTACCAACCAGGTCGTGGGTGAAATCTTTAAAATTCTAGAATCCGTGTCCTCCATTCCATTTCACTCCTAATGCCCTGGATCAGTCCATCCAGCTTTTAGGAATGTTGCAATGGCTAGAAACTCATTATTGACTCTTCCGCTAGTCCACCCTACTTTCCACATTGGTGGCAGGCATTGATTTCCAAAATAAAAATCTGACCCGATTACTCCCTGTTTTAAAAACTTTAATGGCTTCCCAAATAATCATCATGGACTTTGAAAGCTTTCATAATCTGGCCTCACCCAACCATTTCATTATAATTAGTCTCCCTTCATCCAATCCCGGAAACCTAATGTTCCGATGAAACAGAGATGTAACGTCCTGAATACAACACACATTTTATTTTTTTTATTTTTTTGAGGCAGAGCCTCACTCTGTTGCCCGGGCTAGAGTGCCGTGGCGTCAGCCTAGCTCACAGCAACCTCAAACTCCTGGGCTTTAGCCATCTTCCTGCCTCAGCCTCCTAGAGTACTAGGATTATAGGCGTGAGCCACCGCGCCCAGCCAAGATCATTGTACTTATGGCCACAGAGAAATAACAGAAATTTCACCCCTAAGTAATAGCAAAAGGGGCAGTCTCAATTATTTTTCTTTGGAAAGTAGCCTGAACTCCAGGTAGCAGGGGTATGGATCCAATAGTGTAGGACTGATAATGGAGGTGGGGGGTGACCCCTGTCTCTGGAACACTTCCTCCTCTTTCTCCTCACCTCTCCTCCAATTAGTGAAATATTCATCTATCAAATGTCCTCTTTAAAGTAGAATTCATAGCTTCTTCTTTATGACCCCACTGTCTTCAATTTAAAATGTCCTAAAACAATAGAAAATACCATGACCCATATACAAGGATGATCCCAAATTCTATGAAATATTTCATATATGTTGTTCTTTTGTGCTCCCTAGTATATTCATATTTCTATTATAGCACTTAAATTGTCACATAACTGTTTACATATATGTCTTTCCTCACTGTTTCTGAAGGATGGAGGCTACATTTTACTTATCTTTGTATCCTTAGTGTCTAGTACAGTCTGGTATCCAATAAACAGTAGATGCCGAATAAATATTTGGTAATGAATGAATAAATGTGTTAGTCATTATTTCTGACTTCTCTAAGTTGGCAACTTCTTGAAAGGCAGTATCTAATCTTAATCATTTTATTCCTAGAAACTGTCACAATTACTGGCATATATTGTTTCCAATTAGTGCTTAAATGGATTTTATATATTCCATTCTGTACTCATTACTATGCTTTAATGTTTTATGTTGGTGACTGACACAAGATCTAAAACTGAAAGGGCCTTAATCATCTAATAACAACCCTTTCATTTCCTGCAGATAAAGATACTGAGCAAGGAGAGGTCAGGTGATTTCCCCACAGCAACCAGGAAATACTGAGTCTAGAATCAAGCTCTCAAATTTCCCAGATTAGTACTCATTCTACTACATTTTGCTACTTAGATTGAATTTATGAAACAACTTTATCACTTTAATTTTTTTAACAACACCTACAAGAGATCCTCATGATCCCATACTGTTTATTTCAACAAGCATTTTTTGGCATTACCTACTCTGTTAAAAACATTTGAGGCTCCTGTTTTTAAGTTTGCGATCTTGTGGAGGATCTTATAACCCAGTGTTGATAAAAATATTATTTGGCAAAATAAAACAAAGCTTTGTTTCTCTTTGAGTAGGAATTTTTTAAAATTGTAAATTTTTCCTTAGTTTTATTTCACTCTCAACTTTAATAGTTTGTAAAGTCTTATTAGAGGTCTTCAAATGTAAAATTTCTTTTATTTTTTTTCTAGGTTTTCTGATCCTTTCTATGAGTTTCACCATCTGTGGTCTTTACCAACAACTGTGGTTTAATCGATTGGTAATAGAGAAAAATCATTAACTAGGAGAAAATGTCGAATCTAAAAATGAAAGAGGCAGCCCTTATCTATCTTGACAGAAGTGGAGGCCTCCAAAAGTTTATAGATGATTGCAAGTACTACAATGGTATGTTCAACAAAGGTGCCTTTATTTTAGAAACTCTCAACTAAATTCCTACATATAACTATCCTTTTACTTTTGTCTATTTTCACAGATTCAAAACAAAGTTATGCTGTCTATCGATTCAATATTTTAATAAATCCTTCTGATGTTGTTGAATTAGATGCTGAACTTGGAAATCACATTTTACACCAGCCTTTAAAAGCTGCTCAAGTTTTTCAATCAGTAAGTTAAAGAAAGAAATAATTTTATACCACATGGAATTTTTGGTAACTTTTTGTTTGTTTGAAATCACAGGTCTGTTTTATTGCTGTTAAGACTCTCTCATTAATTGGACAGTTGCAGACAGAAACTCAAGTAAGTTTTGGTGAAATTTAACAAAGGAAATTCAGGTACAAACTTTCCTGATGACTCGTAAATCAATATTTTTATATTCTTTATTTATTAAGAAGTATACTACATTTTTTCAAAGTTCAATGGAATATCTTACATGCACACTTTTATTTCCTATACTATCGCTTATAACATTAAACACTCCTGTAATAAAGTATTTCAAACATACCCAGAAGTAAAAAGAATAATACAATGAATTTCTATGTATCTATCACTCAGGGTCAATGTTACGATATTTTGCCATACGTGCATCATCAATTTTTTTCTGAAATATTTTAAAGCAAATCCTAAATGTTCTATTATTTTATCCCTACATACTTTAGTATCAACCTCTAAAAACTATGGGCATTCCCCTCCCCCTCCCTTTTTACTACACTTGATCTTAGCCAGAAGGCTGAGAAGTGATTTCCCTCCCTTTTTATACCAATGACTTTTTGAAGAAACTAGTTAATTGTCCTATGTTACATAACCTGAATTTGTCTAATTGCTTCCTTGTGGTGCTATTTATCTTGTTCCCCTATACTCATATTCCTAAAATAGAAGTTGGCTCTAAAGGATTTTTAGATTCAGATTCAACTCATTTTGACAAGAATACATCATAGTTGATGTCATGTATTCCATATTGCAGTATATCAGGAAGGTATACTATCTGTTGTCCCACTTCTAACAATGTCACAATTGATCAGCAGGTTCATGTGATGTCATTCTGATCTCTCCATTATATGGTTTGCCATCAACTTTTACCTACTTGTTTTAGCGGCCATTGATGTTCATTGCCTAGAACCCATTATTTCATTAGGAGTTGCAAAATTGCAATTTTTCCAATGTTAGCATTCTTTCTGAATTTGTTAGCTAAAATTATTCTATAAGAGAAATTTTCTCTCGTCAACTAGTTGGTTACTTTGAAATACAATTTGTACAAGAAAGACAGGCTAAATGTTTGATTCTTTGCCTTTATACTTTTTCAGAGAGTAACAAATTGAAATCTAGCAGCCTCCAATGATGATCTTTTTTTTTTTTTGCTTTTTGTTTTTCTTTTATTAAATATGAGGAACTCATGAACTTTTTAATATAGCTGATTTAATATAGCTGTTGTATTTCAATGAATCTCTGTTACTTCTTTTAATGCTTATATTATCCTACCTTCGGTCATTGGGAATCACTTCAAATTTGCTCCTATGTCCTTTTGACATATGCTGTTTGTTTTTTATAGCTCCCTTGATTTCTAACACAAGAAGATATCCCAACTCCATCTAGCATATTTTCTGTCCCAGACCTGGAATCAGCCATTTCCCCCAAGGAGCCCTGATTCTTTTTAGTGAGAAATGATCTTTAGAGATCACAGTCTGGGCACTACGAGTGTTCTTTGCTATTGGGTTGACATTGTTTTTGAAGTCTTTTCAGTGAATTTAGCAAGGAAATGTGTATATTTAAGGAAAAATAATGAGTTCATAATGATATTTTGTTCCTAACAACATTAACAAATCATTTACTAAATTTACTCAATATACTTACTATATTATAATGCAAGTCAAATGGGATCTGCAATTTTAATACCATTTTTATGTTCTTATTAGATTAATATTGTGCTGAAATTAACACATTTACCTCCTCTGCCAAGCTATGGTCTTGATCTTTGTGACTTTCCACGTGATTATACATCTCAGAGATTTTATATGATGCAAGGAATTGTGATTGCAATGACAACAGTAACTAAGTATACACAAGGTGCAAGATTTCTTTGTTCAGATGAAGCATGCCCTCTTTCAAAAGGTAAATATTAAAATGTAAAACCAAAACATCAAGCAATTTATCTTTTAATCCTAAATCCTATTTATGATGAGTTAGGAAACATAAAATAGGAAGAATGGAATAAAATTCGATATCTCCTAATGTTTATACATGTGGTTTGCGTAATCTTTAAATGCATTCTTTCTCCTTTTCTCCCCTGTCCCCAACTTAACAAGTGTGCCTATGTCGCTGAAGTACTTGTTCTTCTCACACATTGTTTCATGACTGCTCACTCTGTTCCCTCTCCATTTAATGTCCTCCCTCAGCCCTTTGGCTTGACTTCAGGTCAGTCCTTCTCTAAGATATCTTTTCCTTTTATCCCTAACTCTCATTGGGTTGAATACCCCTGCTCTCTTCTCTCTGAACACTCTGCAAATGAATACCATATATTGAAATTGTCTATTTCTTATTGCCAAATATAGAAATTGTGTGTTTCAGTATCCATATTACCAGTGCCTCAGCATAGTGCCTGGGAAGAACAGCCATGCAATAAGTGTTAATTGAACTAATCTGAACCCAAATGCAAAATTGAATTAATTATACCTTGAATTAAATTAATTATAAAGGATTGAAAATAACTAAATCTGAAAGCAAATTTAGCTTATCATGTTTTCTTTCAGGATTTCAGTATATAAGAGTGCATGTGCCTGGTGCCACAGAATCTGCAACAATAAGAAGTGACTTTTTGTGTAATCTATGTGCATCTTCACTGCAAGAAGACAGAAAATTTAGAGTACTTGGTGGTAAAATGCATTTACATTTTGTAATTACAATTTTTAAAATAGTGTCTGATATTTCATGTGGAATTAAATTGAATATATATTCTAAATCTAATTCTTTTTTCACTTTGCCTTAAGATAAACAGATAGTTGAAATAATTACCACAAAGGCACTTCAGGCTTTTCAAGGTAACAACCAGACATTTAGGTTCCAATCTCTTACAATTTTCCTAAGAGGTAAGTAAGTTCTGTTTGAACTCAAAATAAATTGCTATAAATTATGTAATTAATGTGCTTATACTTACATATTATAAATGGTACTTCTATAGCTTAAGAATTACATCTTCTTATTCCTGAGTGTTTTAAAAAATATTCATATTTAGCTAATGTATCAATTATTCAGTTAGTCATAGGACACTCTCACTTATAAATGATATTAGCACCTGCTATGTCCATAGTACTGTGCTACGTAAGTCATAGTCATTTTGAGGCAGTGATCTCTCACTATTCTGTGTGTGTCTTAAATACATATTGGAGTTATTGCTCAGCCTTCTGGAGCTAGAGAGGAAAAAAAAAATGGAGATCGTTGTTTGATCTTCACAGAAAGAAGTTAGCCCTTGCTCCTCCTTGTCAACCTTTCTTTCATAGCTTTACCACCAGCCAACTTCTAAGTGTGGAATGGAGGAACAAAATTTTTAGTGTGATTTTTAAAATAAACTTTGAACTCATGCAAAGCTTCACCCATTCTGTAGATACAAGAGAGGAACCTAGTACAATACAAGAGGGTAAACTTTGTAGATAGACAGACCTAGATATCAATTTCAGTTCTGCCACTTACTAGTAATTTAGCCTTGTGCAAGTCATTTAACCTCTCTGTTTCTTCATATATAAAGTTGAGATAAGAATATCTACCTGTCTTACTGCTTACAATTAGATAACGTATGTACAAGTACTTAGATGTATTATAAATAGATAATGTATGTGCAAGCACCTTATATGTATTGTAGCCAGTAAAATTTTCTTCCTAAATAAAATTACTTATAAGGTCACTTTTATTAACATTCTTTGTTATTTAATACAAAGACATTTCATCTTATATAGAATATTTTTTTCCTTTTGACTATATTATAGGACAGTATCTATTAATAGTTGCTATGTCTTATGCTTCTTGAAGTTAATTCAGCATTGCATATAAGAATCAAAATTTATCAGCAATAAAATTGCATCAATTTACATTAATAGTGACACTGTATAGGGATATTAGACTAAACAGTAAATATTGCTAACTCATCTATTGAATTGTTACTGGTTCTGGATCTTTAAACCATATGTCATGTACAAGTTTCATTTAATGAATACACATTTTCTTCTTTGTTTAATAATTTTAGATGAATCAGTGAATAAAATGAATATAGGAAATGAATATAAAATTATTGGAATTCCAACATGTGTAAAAACCTCACAAACTGTCTGTATAGAAGCAAATAGCATAACTTTTTGTAATTCAAAAGGTAAGGAAAATATAAATATCATATATTAACAAATATTTAAATTTAAATCTGTTCAGCAAATATTGTTTGCCTGCATTCTGAGCACTCTTCTAAGCATTAGGAATACAGTTTGTAAACAAGACAGTCAAGGTTCCTGCTCTTAAATTGTATGGTAGACAGATAACATGTAAACTAATCAATAAGACAATTTAAATAATAAGTGCTATGAAGGAAATAAAATGGATAATGTGGAAACTTGCTGGCAGGCAGGACTTCTTTCTTTGAGCTAAGTTTTATTTTGATTTTTTTTAAATATAATTAGCAATAAGAAAAAATGTTTCAGGATGCCAAGAATTAGAGATTGCTACCCTTTATTTTCTAGCTAAGACAATTCTAAGTAACTGTTTTGGTCTGAGAAAAACTGTAAAATGGTATCATTTTCCTCAACTGAGTTCTGAACCAATCAAGAAATAAGACAAAAGCCAGGCACAAGGGGGCACTCCTATAGTCCTAGCTACTCTGGAGGCTGAGGTGGGAGGCCAGGAGTTTGAGATCAGCCTGGGCAACATAGGGAGACCCTTGTCTCTAAAAAAATTTTTTTAAATAAATAAGATAGACCAGGTGTAGTGGCTCATGCCTGTACTCCTAACACTCTGGGAGGCCGAGGCAGGAGGATCGCCTAAGGCCAGGAGTTTGAGACCAGCCTGAGCAAGAGTAAGACCTCATCTCTACAAAAAATAGAAAAATTAGCCAGGCATGGTGGTGCATGCCTGTGGTCCCAGCTACTCGGGAGGCTGAGGCAGAAGGATTGCTCGAGCCCAGGACTTTGAGGTTGCTGTAAGCTATGATGACACCACTGCACTCCAGCCTGGGAGACAGAGTAAGACCATGTCTCAAAAAATAAATTAAATAGATAAATAAATAAATAAATAAATAAGACAAAAGATAAAGGCAGATGAGGGCCAACATATCACATTTATTATTTCCTTTAACAATTCCAGCATATTTTAGCATTAAGTAAATAAAAGTAGAGAGCAAACCTTTTCTTTTAACTTGACTCACAAATATCTAAATGTAGGAAAGCCGGGTTAAATCTTGAGTAGGGTTGGATATTTTGGAATCAATAGATAACCATCTGTAGTAATAGAGACCCATGTTGAATTTAAATGTAAGTGGATTCTAGCTACTTCTACTTATCTTGAAGAGAAAAGCTTCTTAAAAGAACAAAAATGTTGAAAGAAAGCCTGGCTGTTGAGTATCTCAAGATTTATTGATTTTGACTTATATATAGGTGAAGAAGTGTGCTTTCTTATGCTGACCTCCAGAATTAGGCAAATTTAGCCACCCAAATGTGGCAAGAGTTGGACTAAAAGTAGGCCTCTCTTAGTCCATGGGCATGGATGAATAGAGGAAATCATTGCTTTATTATGGCAGCCCAAGAGGAAGGAGAATGGGATTGAGTTATACATGCACTGATTTTCCTCCCAAACTGACCAATTCTATAAATCGGTCATTCCTTTCAGGAATTGGAGAGACTGAGGGGGTGGAGAAGATCTAGAATGTTACAATATAGTACAGTGCTTTTAAACTAGTAGAATATAAATCTTTCCTTTTTTTTTTTTTTTTTTTTTTGAGACAGAGTCTCACTCTGTTGCCCGGGGCGAGTGCCCTGGCATCAGCCTAGCTCACAGCAACCTCAAACTCCTGGGCTCAAGCAATCCTTCTGTCTCAGCCTCCCAAGTAGCTGGGACCACAGGCACGCGCCACCATGCCCGGCTAATTTTTTCTATATATGTTTTAGTTGTCCAATTAATTTCTCTCCATTTTTGGTAGAAACGGGGTCTCGCTCTTTGCTCAGGCTGGTCTCGAACTCCTTAGTTCAAACGATCCGCCTGCCTCGGCCTCCCAGAGTGCTAGGATTACAGGCGTGAGCCACCGCGCCCGGCCTAAATCTTTCCTTTTAACAACAGCATTCAAATATTTCCCATTCTACTTATCATCATTCATTGAAAGTGATGCTATTTCAAACATAGACATATAGGTGCAAACACAGCAATACAGGGGCTCCATGATCTGCCTTTGCTCACATCGATCTTAAAAGGAGAAGAATGAGGGATTTGCTTGGTGCTCACAGCTAGTGTATGTGAAAACACAGGGTGACTTCTTCCCTTTATTATATTCCCTGGGGTAGAAATGGTAGACTCGTGTGACCTCCAATCAAAATTTAATATCATTATAAGAATTTGAATATGGCATCATTAAAACTATAATTTGATATTTTAGGTAAATGGAATCAAATATCTATAATGTTGTATTCTTGTTTTAAAACTCTTTCTAATATATGTGTCAATATTTACTTTCAGTTCCTTCAGAAATTAGTAACAACTTCAGGTGTCTCCTCTCCTTGACTTCCAGTTCATGCTGGAAGTTTACAGCAGTACTTGCCAATATCTTTGCATCACAAATTGTTCCTCCTGGGACTTACAATTTGCTCAAGCTCTGTTTGTTGATGAGTCTTGTACAGACAAGTGACCATAAAAAGGAACTGGAAGATTGCCTGGATATTTTAATTATAACAAGTGATACTCTACTAGTAAAAAGGTAAATACGTGACATGAATTTGTAAAATATTAATTGGTCACAGGTTTGCATAAATCTTTCCCATGAGCATTATTGGAAGAAGAATATTTAGAATTTATCTGAGCTAGTATAATTATTTAAATCAATTTTTATCAATAAAGTTTGAAACTTTCAAAACATAAATTGATAACTGAGATATTTGCTTTCAATATTTTGAGAGTCTTCCCCACTCAGACTTTTACAAATAAATACCAGCCTTCCTTTTCCCCCATTTCCTAGCTCTGTATTCTGCTTTTATGCTTTGTTTTCATTTTTCAATAATCTCTCCCTAAGGAGCCAATATGCCATTTCTTATTTTTCTTCAAGATTCCATTCAATAATGTTGATTTGCTGCACCCAAAAGACTCTTAAAATACCAAAATTACTGTTTTGAGGATACATCATCCTAACTTTGGCATAAGCCTCTACTTAACATTTTGTGGCTCCTCATTAGCAAGTACCCTTTTTTTAAAAAGTTATTTAAATGTTCACAAATCTTGAAATTACCTCCTTTTAAAATATCTTGTATGTAATTCTAAAGCAAAAACTAAATTTATAAAATGAATTTAAGATAGAAAAAATAAAATTCAAACTACCATCAATTTAATTGTATAAATGATGTTTTGCTAAAATTAAATTGCCACTGGCAATGTAAATATGATGCCAAATTCTACAGATTTCATCACTTTTTTCTTCTACTCATGGAGCATGAAAGTATTTGTTTCCTCACAGACTCATCAATTCTGGATATTATCAAACTTTTTTTTTTTTTTTTTTTGAGACAGAGTCTCTCTCTGTTGCCTGGGAGTGAGTGCCGTGGCGTCAGCCTAGCTCACAGCAACCTCAAACTCCTGGGCTCAAGCAATCCTTCTGCCTCAGCCTCCCGAGTAGCTGGGACTACAGGCATGCGCCACCATGCCCGGCTAATTTTTTCTACATATATTTTTAGCTATCCAATTAATTTCTTTCCATTTTTTGGTAGAGACGGGGTCTCGCTCTTGCTCAGGCTGGTCTCGAACTCCTGAGGTCAGAACGATCCGCCCGCCTCGGCCTCCCAGAGTGCTAGGATTACAGGCGTGAGCCACCACGCCCGGCCCAAACTTTTAAATTTTGTAATCTGATGGGTAGAAAATGGTATTTTATTTTAATTTGCATTTCTTTAACTGGAAATAACTTTCAGCATCATTTAAATCTTATTAAACAATTGCATTATATTTTATAAACCTCCTAATCTTGCCCATTGTTTATTTTTCTAAGTTGCTTATCTATTTCTTATTGATTTGTGATTGCTGTTGTAAATTAAGGCCTTTGTCTCCTTTCCTGTTTGTCATTAACCTTTTGACTTATGATATTTTGGGCTGTATGAGAGATTTTCATTTTTTGTTTATCTTTAGGTAAAATTTATTTATAGTGAAACTATCATATCTTCTTATCATTAAAAATAATCAATGAATTTTACCAAATACATACACTCATACATACAAATACAAATACATACAAATACATACAAATACATACAACCACTACCACAGTGAGATATAGAACATTTACATCACCCCAGAAATTCCCTCATTCCCTCTTCCAGTCAGCTCCTATCCCCACAGGTGATTTCTGTCACCATAGATTAATTTTCCTGTTTTGGAATTTCATAAAATGGAATCATACAGTGTATCCTCTTTTGGGTCTAGTGTCTCTCATTCAACAAAATGTTTTTGAGATTGATCCAGTTGTGTGCATCAGTAATTCATTGTTTTTATTGATGAATAGTATTCCATTATATGAATATACCACAAATTGTTTATACAGTCTCCTACTGGTGGGTGTTGAGTTTTGCATGTTTTGACTGTTATGAATAAAGCTACTGTAAACATTCTTGTACAACTCTTTTTGTGGAAATTATTTTCATTATCTTTGGTAAATACCTAGGAGTGAATTGCTGGTTCATAAGGTAGATGTATATTTAACTTTATAAGAAACTGATAGTTTTCCAAAATGACTGTACCATTTTATATTCCTACCAACAGTGTGAGAATTCCAGTTGTTTCCAACCTTATCAACATTTGGTTTTGTTAGTCTTTTTCATTTTAGCCATTCTAGTGAGTATGAAATGGTATCTCATGATTCCAATTTGCACTTCCCCTGATGAGTACTGATCTGAGCTCTTTTTCATGTGCTTATTGGCCATTCATATATCTTCTTTTATGAAGTGTCTGTTCAAGTCCTTTGCTTGCCTTCTCGTTGGATTGTTCTGGATGCATGTCCTTTGCTACACACACACACACACACACACACACATACATACATACATACATACATACATATATAATTTTTGTCCCAGTCTAAAGCTTGTTATTTTTAAAATTTTCTTAATGGTATCTTTGATGAGCAGACTTTTTAGTTTTGATGAAGTTCAATTTATTATTTTCTTTTATGTGTAGTGTTTTCTGTGTTCTGTTTAAGAAATCTTTGTCTACAACCAGGTCATGAAGATTTTCTTTTATATTTTCTTCTAGAAGCATTATAGTTTTTAGCTTACTTTTTATTTATTTGTTTATTTGGATGAGGTCTGCTACATTGCCCAAGCTGGTGTCAAACTCCTGGGCTCAAGCAATCCTCCTGACTCAGCCTCCTGAGTAGGCGGGACTATAGGCATGCATCACTACCCCTCACAAGAAGCATTATAGTTTTAGCTTTTATATTAGGTTGGTTATATTTCTCAAGTTAACTCTGTATATGGTGTGAGGCATGAGTTAAAATGTTTTTTCTATGCATTTATCCAACTTTTCCACACCATTTGTTGAAAAGACTTTTCTTTTCCCATTGAATCATTTTGGTACTATCGTTGAAAATAAATCGAACTGGGTAGAAACTGAGTATAAAATTGCACTGGATATAAATCTATTTGAACTCTCTTTTCTATTATTTCAATCTATTTGTCTATACTTATACCAATACTATAGTGTCTTCATTATTGTAGCTCTGTGCTCAGTCTTGAAATCAAGTGATGCAACTTTATTCGTAATTTTCAAGATTTTTAAAAAGCGCTTTAGGTCCTTTGCATTTTCTTACAAAGTTTAGATCAATATGTTAATACCAACCTCCTCACCAAAAAGAAGCCTTTGAGGATTTTGATTGGAACTGCATTTAACGTATTAATCAATTTTGGGGAGAATTCACATCTTAACAATATTGAGTCTTCTAATCCATAAGTATGGTCTATCTCTCCATTTATTTAGATCTTCTTTAATTTTTCTCAGCAATATTTTATAAAGTCATGCATATATTTTGTTAAATTGATTTCTGAATATTTTCTACTAAAAATAGCATCAAATTAAGTGTTTTATTAATTTCGTTTTCAATAGTTTGCTATGAATATATAGAAATATAATTGATTTTTGTATTTTGACTTTGTATTCTGTGACCTTGCATTAGTAGTTTTAAAAGTTCCTCAGATGATTTCAATGTGTAGCCAAGTTTGAGGCTCATCATTCCATATCATTACATACTAAGCCTGGCTACATATTAGAACACCTGGGAGAATTTAAAATATATATATTTATGACGATGTCTCACTCCCAGGGATTCTAATTTAGGTGGTTTGGGGTAGGGGGGGATGACACTGGAATTTTTTAAAGGTTCCCCTGGTGATTTTAATGTGGGCTAGGGTTGGTTTTATTTTAGAAAGAAACTGCAAAACTCTCTTATTTTATATATCTTGAAACTAACATCCAAATTCCTTGGAATGGCACATACTCTAGACATATTTTATACTATCTGCCTATCCAAATCTAATCCTCTTTTGCATTGCATGTTTATGCCTCACCCTCTTTTGCTTTGCATGTCTATATCTACTCATTATAGTTGATTGTACCAGCAAGCTATGCTTTCTGTGGCAATTATTTGAAAGCTAAGCTAAGATAATCATATTCCTTTCTTAGAATTTAAATTTGAGAAATAAAGATACCAAGGCAATTAGAAAAGAGGTTAGAAACTAAAAAACTGTATCAAGAGTTGCCAGGATACAGAGGCAGCAGGGATAGTTATGATGGGACATTGATAATCCTAATGCAAAAATTCTGAATAAGCAAAAGAAAACAATCCATAAAAAGAGGAAGGCCCAGTTCAAATGTCATTTCTGTATAACTTTCTTTGACTCTCTTTCAGGAAGAAATAATACTCCCTTATGGACATTCTAAAGATATTATTTTAGTACTTATTGCATTATGTTTTAGTTTTTTATGTCTCTCTTTTTAGGCAGTGAGGTTTCCAAGTTAAGGACCAAGTCTTATGTATGTTTTTATCCCTAGCAGATAGCTGATATAGTATAGGACACATGTTCGATAAACATTGAATCAAATTAAATTTATGTTAACACATTATGACTTCTGAAAATCAAATAAAAGTAATGAAAATTTTATTTTTTTCCCCTAGGCTTTTGAATTTTAGCATAAACCTTGTTCCTCGTGGTGTATGTCATCCAGTCTCTACTGAAATTTTTCCCACTCTATCCAGGAATAAGTATGGAACTGGAGCAGTTAGCATTCAAGCTGGCAGTGCTTTGCTAGCCAAAGGTGGTGTCTGCTTTATAGGAGACTTGGCTTCACACAAGAAAGATAAACTTGAACAGCTTCAATCAGGTAAATGGTTTTTTTTTTTTTTTCAAATTAATGTTTACCTATTTAAGTATGCTCTCATCAGTGCCAAGAAGTTACTTAACAGTTAAGATAGTATTGTGCATGTTTTAGGAATTGAGAAATTATATTAAATGCCATTTCTTATTTCAGTTTTATAAATAACAACAGAGGAATTCAATGTGCAAATGCCCTGTTTTAGCCTTTGGTTTCGGTTGGTCTCAATACATGAGTTTGTATTGGGCCAGATTTATTTCCTCTTCTTGTCTCATTGCTTTAGCTAACAACTTAAGTATAATGTTGAAAAGTAGTAGTGAGAAGGGAATTCTTGCCTTGTTCTTGATCTTAGTGGGAAAGCTTCAAGTTTCTCACCATTAAGTATGTTGGTTGTACATTGTCTGTAGATGTTCTTTATCAAGTTGAAGTTCTCCTGTATTCCTAATTTGCTGAGAGTTTTTATCATGAATGGGTGTTGGATTTTGTCAAATGCTTTTCTGCATCTATTAATATAATCATGCAATTTTTTCCTTTAGCCTGTTAATGTGACAGATTACATTACTTAATTTTTGAATATTGAACCAGTCTTGCATACCTGGGATAAATCCCACTTGGTCATGATGTATAATTCCTTTTATACATTGTTGGATTTGATTTGCTACTATTTTGTTTAGGATTTTTGTATCTACATTTGTGAGAGATTTTTCTCTATAGTTTTCTTTTCTAATAATGTCTTTGTCTGGTTTTGGTATTAGGGTAATGCTAGCCAGGCCAGTTATAACTAACAAGAATGTGGATAGCCATGGACTGGGCAAAGAGCAGTCAGGGCCTTGCTTTCTTGACATGTCAGCATGAATGTACAAGAGTGCTCAGGGGACATAGCATATTGCTTCACCCTGCAAGAGAGGGTAGAAATAGGTCCACATTAATATGGTCAATGGATTTCTGACCATGGCACCAAAGCCAGTCAATGGGAAAACAAGTTTATTCAACAAACAATGGTGGAACATCTGGTTACATGTATGGAAGAAATTAATCTTAGCCCATACCTCACAACTGTACACCATAATTAGTTTGAGATGGATCATAAACCTAAATGTAAAAACTAAAAATATAAAGCTGTAGAAGAAAATATAGGTATCTTCATGACCTTAGGGTAGGCAGAGATTTCTTGGATGGAATTCAGATTGCACTAAACATAAAAGAAAAGAATTGATAGACTGAACATCATTATAAAGTTATATACATTAAAAAGCCCCATTTAAAAAGTGAATAGTCAAACAAAATGAAAATAATTGCAATACATATATTTGCCAGAACATTAAAAAATTTCTATAAGTCAATAATATTAAAAACAAAGAATTCAACAAAAAATTGGGAGAAGACTTGAATAATGACTTCTCAAAGGAAGATAGACAAAATGACCAATAAGCACATGAAAGAGTGCTTAACATCGTTAGTTATCAGGGAAAAGAAAATAAAAACCACAATAAGATACCAACATCAAATACTAGGAGAGCCAGCTTCATGAGTATGGAACAAGTGCAGTTGTACAGAGGCCCTCCTCCCCCCACAAAAGCTTGGCATTTCATTTAAAATTATGCTGTCCCCATCCACCAATTTTTTTTTTTTTTTTGGTAGTTAGTCAAAGATTTATTCAGGAGGAACTTAACATACAAGGCAATCTTGGGTGGCAGCAAGACAAGGTCGATCTCCATGCTTGCAATGCATGCCTGTCTAGTCTTTTATACCATGCATGAAAAAAAAGGAAAGGTAAAAAAAAGTCACTGATGTTAAGCCATCTGGTTGGTTTCTTTCTTTACTTTCTACTTAAAGGAATTGTTTGGGTTCCCAATGATCTGGTCAGTGCTCTTAAGTGTGAGTGGAGGAAGTGCAGTGTTCTGGGTAGTAGCAGTTATCTAGGTCCTCTGGTTGCTGCATCCTACAACTCACCTTGTGGTCATGTACCCAGAGTACATTTTTACAATGGCAGCCAAAGAACCATTACCAGCTGTAGTGTTTACTGAGGGCAAAGGGGAAATGCAGCAGAAGTCCTTATTTTTGGAAGTAAACAGTGGTAAAATGCAATGGTTCTGTTACATGTAAGGGTTTTGCAGAGCCTTACACAAACTCCACCTTACCCTTATGGCGGTATTCACAGATCCTTCAATGAGCTCCACTTTGAAGAACTAATTTTAACAGCTAAATGTGAAGACATTTTGGTTTTCCTGAAAGCTTCAGTTTTTCCAGTATTTCCAGATATTCCAAGTCAAGCCATTTAGTGACTGTTTCTTCTGTTCTCCAGCTGTAGCCTTCTAGGTTTTCACCCCCATTTGTTTCCACATCGACATAGGTTCTAATCCATATGTGGGAGCTAAATGATAGGTACACATGGTCATAAAGTGGTATACAGGACATTGGAAAATATATATTTCATCAATTTTGTTTAACTCAAATTTTTAATAATTTTATCTTTGAATTTGTATTTTATAAGGAAGTCCAATGATACAATGGAGTAGAGGAGACATGTGCATGCATGTATCTACTGTGCCTTGCTGCCCTATTTCATACAAGATTTGCAATCACTATGCTGCTTCCATAACACACTTAACGTGTACTTGCTTTGATTCTTGCTGGACTCCCATGTATCATAGGTACACTGAAATTCAGTGCTCATATTCCATATCAACACCTCTTCAACTGAGTGTGAGGGAGTGCTAATAGCCCCAAGAAGCCATGCCTTCTGTTTGAACCAGACTTACCTCTAATGCAGAAAGAAGGCTATGGCATTTGAAGAAACACAAATGAACAAGGATCCTTATCATAGCCTTTCTTACTTGGTTACTTCCCTATATTTGCCAATCAATTACAGTAAAAATGATGACACAGGAGGAAAGGGGAAAATAGGGCAACTCCATTGTTCCTTATCTTTTCAGTCCTTCCTTACTCATCAGAAAGCTATAGGTAGAGAGTTTTAGTAAAATGTGTGACAAAACTGGAAGAATCACATTACCTGACTTCAAATTATACTACAGAGCTATAGTAACCAAAACAGTATGGTACTGGCATAAAAATAGACACATAGACCAATGGAACAGAATAGAGAACCCAGAAATAAATCCACACATCTATAGTAAACTTATCTTTGACAAAGTTGTCAAGAACATGCATTGGGGAAAAGATAGTCTCTTCAATAAATGGTGCTGGGAAAACTTGGTATCCATATGCAGAAGAATGAAACTAGACCCTTATCTCTCACCACATATAAAAATCAAATCAAAATGGATTAAAAGATTTAAATTTAAGACCTGAAACTGTGAAACTATTAAAAGAAAACAGTGGAGAAGTACTTCAGGACTTTGGTCTGGGCAAGGACTTCTTGAGTAATACCGCCAAAACACAGACAACCAAAGCAGGATTGGACAAACGGGATCACATCAAGCTTAAACGCTTCTGCATAGCAAAGGAAACAATCAACAAAGAGACAGCCCACAGAATGGGAGAAAATATTTGCAAACTACCCATCTGACAAGGGATTAATAACTAGAATATATAAGGAACTCCAGCAACTCAATAGGGAAAAATCAAATAATTCAATTTAAAAATGAGTAAAGGATCTGAATAGATATTTCTCAAAAGAAGACATACAAATAGCCAACAGATATATGAAAAAATGCTCAACATCATTAGTCATCAGAGAAATGCAAATCAAAACTACAATGAGATATCATCTCACCCCAGTTAAAATGGCTTTTTTAAAGAGACAAGCAATAATGAATGATGGTGAGGATGTTGAGACAGGGGAACCCTTGTACAGTGTTTGTGGGAATGTAAATTAGTGTAACCACTATGGAGAAAAGTATGGAGATTCCTCAAAAAACTGAAAATAGAACTACTATATGACCCAACAGTCCTACTGCTAGTTATATTTCCAAAAGAAAGGAAATCAGTATATCAGAAAGGTGTCTGCACTCCCATGTTTATGACAGCACTATTCACAATAGCCAAGATTTAGAATCAACTTAAGTGTCCATCAGTGGATTAATGGATAAAGAAATTGTGGTACATGTACACAATGGAATGTTACATAGCCACAGAAAAGAATGAAATCCTGCCATTTGCAACAACATGGGTAGAACTGGAGAACCTTACATTAAGTGAAATAAGCCAAGTACAGAATGACAAATCTCACATATTCTCACTCATATGTGGGAGCTAAATATTAAAAACAATGATCTCATGGAGACAGAGAGTAAAATGATGGTTACCAGAGGCTGTGAAGGGTAGCAGGGAGGGTGGGGGATAAATTGGAGATGGTTAATGGCTACAAAAATATAGTTAGATAGATAGAGAGTGAATAATATTTGACAGCACAACAAAGTGACTATAGTCAACATAAGTTATGGTATAGTTTAAAATAATAAGTTATGGTATACTTTAAAATAACTAAGAGTGGAATTGGAATGTTCCTAACATAAAGAAATGATAAATGCTTGAGGTGATGGGTACCCCAATTACCCTGATTTGATTAATACACTTTGTATGCCTATATCAAAACATCATATGATATATTTTATATATATATAATATATATATTAAAAATATTTTTTAATTATTATGTGCCCATAATAATTAAAAATAAAAATTGAAAAAAAGAAGTGAAATAGCAGTTTTGTGTAGCATTTCCATTGTTCTGATAAAAACAAAATACATGTGCATGTGTGCAAAATACTAGTGATTCCACATGAGATAAATGCTCATATGTTTGCATTTAAGAGGTCATTGTACAATATAAAGATAAAATTCATGCCAACAAAATTTTGATTTTTCTCTATTTAGAATGGCAATTACTGCTATTACATTTTTTGTAACATTTTTATTGAGATTCACACATCATACGATTCACCACTTGAAGTGTACCATTCAGTGCTTTTTAGAATATTCACAAAGTTGTGTAAAACTATTACCACTAATTTCAGAATATTTTCATCACTCTAAAAGGAAACCCCATACCCATTAGTAGTCACCTCCCATCCCTGCCTCCCCCCACCCACTCCACCACAGTTCCTGGCAAACACTAATTACTTTCTCCCTCTATGTATTTGCCTTTTCTGAGCATTTCATATTCAGTCAAACCTCAGTATTCTCAGGGGATTGTTTTTCAGGTCCCTTGTGGATACCAAAATTGGAAGATGCTCAAGTCCCTTACATAAAATGACATAATATTTGCATATAACCTGCACACATCCTCCTGTATACTTTAAATCATCTCTAGATTACTTAGAATACCTAATACAATGTAAATGCAATGTAAATTGTTTTCCACTGTATTATTTTTTAATTTGTATTATTTGTATTGTTTTTTTGAAATATTTTTCTTTTTTTTTTTTTAAATTACACCTACTGATTCTGGTCTATTGAAATATTTTTCATCCTCAGCTGGGTGAATCCTCAGATGCAGAACCCTCAAAGATAGAGGGATGACTGTAAATGGAATCAAACAATTTGTGGTCCGTGACTAGCTTCTTTCACTTTGCATAATGTTTTCAAGTTTCATCCATGTTGTAGTGCAGCAGTCCCCAACCTTTTTGGCACCAGGGCCTGATTTCATGGAAGACAATTTTTCCATGGATGGCAAGGGGGCAGGGTTGGGGGGAAGTGGGGGATGAGGCAGAGCTCAGGTGATGGGGTGATGGAGAGCAGCTGTAAATACAGATGAAGCTTCCCTTGCTCTTGCTGCCACTCACCTCCTGCTGTGTGGTGCCTCCTCCCTTCCATTTCTAAGCCTCTCCTCCAGTTTCTAAGCTTTATGGAAGACAGTTTTTCCACAGACCAGAGGGGAGCCTGGGGAAGGAGACAGCGGAGGTCTGTGCCTGGTGTGTGGCCCAGGGGTTGGGGACCGCAGTTGTAGCATGTATCAGCACTTCATTTCTTTTATTTATTGTGATAAAATATACATAAGATAAAATTTCCCATTTTAACCATTTTAAGTGTACAATTCAATGACATTAAGTACATTTATAATGTTGTGTAACCATCACCACTGTCCATTTCTAGAACTGTTTCATCATCCCAAACAGAAACTCTGTACCCTTTAAATAATAACTTCCTATTCTTACCTCCCCCCAGTCCCTGGTAACCTCTAGTCTATTTTCTGTCTCTGCATTTGCCTATTAATAGAATTCCATTCCTTTTTATAGTTGAATAATATTATACTGTATACCACTTTTTAAAAATCTATTCATCTGTTGATGGACACTTAGGTTTTATCCATCTCTTGGTTATTGTGAATAACGCTGCCATGAACATTGGTATATAAGACTCTGCTTGAGCCCCTGCTTTCAACTGTTTGGGGTATATACCGATACTGTTTTCCCCAGTGGCTGCACCATTGCATATCCCCATCAGTAATGCACCAGGGGTCCAATTTGTCCACATCACCTCTATTACATTTTATAAGTAAAAAAATATTTTTAAAGGAAAAAGCTTTGTATAGTAGTACTTTTAACAACAGTATTTTTCCTGCCTTTTGAACAAGAGGCCCAATTTTCATTTTATACCAGACTCCACAAATTGTGTAACTGGCCCTGACTACTAGAATAGCAAAAATTAAAAAGATTGATAAGAAAAAATGTTGTCAAAGATGTAGAGCATCTGGAATTCTTATACATATATAGTTGGTGGGAGTATAAAATGTTATAACCATTTTGCAAAATGCTTTGGCAGTTTCAATAAAGTTAAATATACATTTACTCTATGACCCAAGGTAAAGATAAATGTACACAGAAGACTCTGTTATCATGAATGAAGAAAAGATTAATTTGAAGAGTACTTGAGAAGGAGAATCCTAGGAATAGTATAAATCCATAGATTAAATAAGTATGAGGGGTGAAGGAAGAAGAGCAGGGAGCATAGGATGTTTCCATATTTTTTGTTTGAGTTTTGAGTGGATGGATGAGGATGCCACCAACTGTGAATAGTGAACACAGAGCCATTGGAATAGGGGGAACAATGAATTTGGTTTTGAACATGTTGAATTTGAGATATATTTCCCTCCAATCATTATAGTTCACATTCTCTCTGTCTTTTCTCTCTCACTCCCACATAGTTGACCTGCTTTCTATTGATAGTTTTTTTCCACATAAAAGAATATTACTTAATTTTAACCTCTCTTGTATGCCTGCACTATGTGACCAATCTCATAGACCTCTGCCTATTCCACCCAGATGCCTGAACACAATTTCAGCTATATGCTTTGGATTGCTGGTTCTCATCAAGTCATGGGACACATAAAACATTCACATATTTTTCTTGCCTTGCTCTTTTTTATGGCAGATGCTCTAACTTAGCAGTATCTTGCACAACAAATTTACTTATGTCTTTAGTACCCAAAGTCTGTATAGTATAATTCTATGTAATAATGTTTGTTATTAATTTGTAGACATGTAGACCAAAAAGAACTTAAATAACAAATGGATAATGTCTTCTGACTTAGTTCTGGAGAGCAGAAGCATTACAGTATACATCCCAGGAAAGAAGTTTGGGGGTGATATTGATCAACAAATGACTTTTCCAGTTCAGTGCAGTTTTTGGTCTTTTCTTGATATGGATTCATCTTCAAGGAGAACTGCACAGAAAAACAACGCTTTAATTGGTCAGATGGTATGGTATATGTATGTTTTATTATTAGAATGTTGTTCAGGGTATTTATTTTGTCACAGATTTTAATATGTCTTCTTAATGTTTTTGTTATTAACCCATTTCTATACTTTATTGGGCACAGGAACTAAATGTTTAAAAATTGTTTAAAAATTGTGGTGTTTTTTAGATCAGGTATCTGCACACTAGAAATTACCACTTGAATAGATAGTTGGGGAATCTTTAATAAATGATGTGTAAGAAAATAATAAAGATTTTTAAAAAATCAATCACCACAGAATTCCCAGACTATTGATAAATTGCTTTAAATTATAATTATACAAACAATAATTAATAATTTTAATAATAAATTACATGTGATGATTAATTTATAATTATTTCCAAATTGTGAAAATGCCAAAGTTTAATGTATGCTTGTTACCCTTTGGTTTGATGTAGGATTGCAGTTTGATTCCAGCTAACCTTGTGGAGGCATTTGGATTATTGATTAATTGTAATGAATCATCTGCTTGCCACCCACTTCTTCCTACTGTGCAACACACTTTAAAGAAAGCCATTGATCCTGAAAGGCTGCTTTATGTAGCTTCTAAACAGTTCAGAACTGAAGATTTTGAAAAGGTAAAGGTAGATAAAATTGTTACCCTGAATGCTTGTGCTAATGTTCCTCAATTTAAATCGAAGTCCTTCGAGCATTCAGTTTTCTTTACTTAGGATTCTTTTATTCCAACTTGCTTCCAGCTTTTAAACATTTTAAGGGCATTGTATAAAAATTATTTAAAGTTATAATTCAACAAATGGGTAAGGAAACGTATATTAAAATGTTGAGTTTATTCACTGTCCAAATCACCATAGCTTAAAGAATCTCAATGAAAAGAAAACCAAAATAGAATATGTCTATGGAAAATTATGATAGGCTATATAGATATACAGTTATTTACATTTTATAGCCGATTTGAAGGGATTTACCTTATATGAATGCCTTCAGAGTTCTGACTTTACAAAATATCTAACATGATTCACTAACTCATTTTAATGTCCTGGCATGATGAAAACATGGCATGTTTTGAGAACTTGAGGGTAGATGATGTAAATTTAGTAATAATTCTGATAGCGTTAAAGGTGCCCAAGTATTTACAACTGAAACCCTTTTAACTATTGAGAAATCTGTCCACAGTAGAGTGGAATATCTGGGTATGATAGATAAAAAGTAGGGGATATTAGAAAGTGGAAGTCCATGGGTCATTAAAAAAATTGTTTTCATACCTGCCTTCCTTGTAAGCATATTGCGTGACTAAAATGTTCAAAGGTGGGGTGAACTTAAAAGATGAATTATGAGCATTGTTTATTCACATGGGTTAGAATAGAAAAGAATAATATTTATGATATAATAAGGTTTTGTTTTTGTTTTTTAGTATGTAAGAAAAAAGTAGTTAGTCTTTAGAAATTAGGGTACTAAGTATAGACAAACTAATTACCCAGAGAAATTTTTGCCTGTTTTTTCCTGAAAAACAAACAAAAAAAACCTATGGATTTATTAACTAGTCAGGTATTTACTGAATACTTAACATATATGAGCCTATTTTTGTTCTTTTGTATTCTCGCAGAAACATAAACTTTCTTCTTTAAATAGTTTATCATTTTAGTGAGATTAAAAAAGATACATGAAACAAGGGGCAATTAAAGTACTAAGCTGAGTGGTGCTGACTATGAATATTTTAGGAATTCAGAAAGGAATTTTGTGGAATGTAGAATGCAAACGTTGGGAAGACTTCATGGAGGAGGTGGGACTTTGTGTTTTAAGAAAAGGTAAAATTTAGATGCCAGGAAGGATGGATATTCTAAGCAGAATTAATAGTAGGAGCAAAGATGCAAAAGTAGAAATTAGTATACATGGAAAACAATGAGAAGACCAGCTTGATTGGAGCAAAAATTGTATTACAGAGTCCTAGGGGTTTGGCAAATTTACAATAAGCCTTGAAGCACAAGCAGAAGAGTTTATAGTTGATTTGTCAGATTGTAGAGAACAATTGTATGCTTTACTAGGCAAGTGAAATAGTGAAAATGGTTTCTCTAGAAGATCAATATGTCCATCACAAAAATTTGTTGCCGTTTGGACTCTCCAGAAGGCAGACTGAGATGGAGTTTAGTGAAATGTATTTGGCAGTGTTCTGTCAATACCTGTGGGTTATATAATGCCTTCCCTGGCTTCACCTCTGTCAGTCATATGATGTGGACTGTGGGCTGTCCTGAAGGGACAGCTGGAAACCATTACTGACAACATTCCCAGTAGAGCTGGGGCAACAAGTCCTTTCCAGAAGGGAGATACAGGTGGCACATCATCATGCCACCAAAGGGTAGAACTTAGAGAGGACTGATGATATTATTAATAGTAGTATTATCCAGTTCTGAAGGCCTAGAGAGAATTATGGAGTATAAACAGAACAAAGAAGCCAGGACATAGTCAATCCAGGACATGTCCAATCCAGGATATATCCATATACTTTTTAAAAAAATATATTGTTCTATAACCTTTATATAAATATTATTGTTAATAGCAACCTTATTATAGTTAATATTTTCCTTGGTTCTATGTTGAAAAAGTAGAAAACAACTAGGATAATAAAAAAAAAAAATCTAGAAATTATGTCACAGAGTAAGGACTTAAGGAACTGGGAACCACTAACTCAGAAAAAAAGCACAAAACTCAGAGAAAACAGCAAAAATCATTGTGTTGGAAAATTATTCTCTACCCAAATCTTACTGAGTCTCCAAGGCCTACCTTCATAGCAGTTAACACAAGGCCTCCCCTCTTTGCAGTGTTAAGTGTTCTTTAAAAGGAAGGAAGTAAGGAGGGCAAGTAGCTCTAGGGCCAATGAGGGAGAGTTGTAAGGAAATAAACTGTAAGGAAATAAAGAATTAAAGCTATTCAAAGGGAAATGAGATTCTGAAGGAGGTGAGCCTTTCTCCCACTGGAACAAAGACATCACAAAATCATTCAAATACATTGCACAGAACATTTCTGCACGGAGAGGGAGGAGATTATTCTGGGTAAACTTTAATACTTTTTACAAGTATAACACTATGATTTAAAGTACTCAATGACTTCAGGATGGCCCCAGACATTTACTCAATTTTATGCAAATAAAATCTGCAAACTTTAAAAATAAAATGGCAGTATACTTTTGATTTTTGTTATGTAGATTCTATAGTAAAGCTTTATCTCTTAAATTTTTCACCCTTTTTATTTAGCTACTGGCTTTTGCAAAGAATTTGAATGTAGAATTCAGCTTGGAAGCAGAAAGAATGATTCATGGCTATTATCTAGCAAGTCGCAGAATCAGAACAGATTCTATATATGGATCAAAACTCTCAGCATCTGCATTAAGATATTTGTAGGTATTTAAGATTTTGAAAGCCAGTATTGACTTTTAAATGATGCATTTAATTTATTTATCTATTTTACTTGTTTCTCTGTTTGCTTGATTGCTGGTTGGTTGGTTTATAATTTACCTTGTTCCAAAAGAACTTAAAGTGGCTTAACAATTCCTTTTGTTATATTGTAACATCATTTTAACCTCCAGTAATTTTTTTCACTAAATATATTTTTATTGGATCCCCTGTATGAGATGTGTCTGAGAAAAATCACACTGATTTCAAATGTTTTTAAAAAATGTGGCTGTTTATATTTCCAGGTATTTTGTAGTTGAACCTAGAAAAAATTTTTAAGTATATTATTCCTTGTACTTCTAGAAACATTAATAGACTCATCTATTTTTGTTCCTTGAAAAGTTTTTAAAAACTAATTTTTATTATAAAAGAAAGTATGAACATTGTAAAAGTCTAAAATGAGTAAAATATCCTGCTAACACTATCCATTCCTACCCCAATCCCCAGAGATAATCACTGTTAACAGTTTTTATGTATCCTTCCAGAACTTATTCATTCAAATATTAGCATACACATATTTGTAATTTATTTATTTATTTTTTTTGAGACAGAGTCTTGCTCTGTTGCCCAGGCTAGAGTGCCGTGGCGTCAGCCTAGCTCACAGCAACCTCAGACTCCTGGGCTCAAGCAATCCTTCTGTCTCAGCCTCCCGAGTAGCTGGGACTACAGGCATGCACCACCATACCCGGCTAATTTTTTCTCTCTATATATATTTTTAGTTGTCCAGATCATTTCTTTCTATTTTTTAGTAGAGATGGGGTCTCGCTCTTGCTCAGGCTGGTCTTGAACTCCTGACCTTGAGCATTCTACCTGCCTCGGCCTCCCAGAGTGCTAGGATTGCAGACGTGAGCCACCACGCCTGGCCCACATATGTGTAATTTAAATATGATATATAAAATATATTTTTATTTAAATGTTATATATGTTAAATGAATATATTATTTAAACATATATAAGCATATAAATATATATATTTTATATGGATAGGTATATTCTTTTTGTCCAGATGGAATCATGTATGCATGTAAAGAATTATCTCATTCTGTTTTAAATAGCTGCATCACAGCTTCACTGTGTTATGATGTGGCTGTACCATAATTGAAACAGTCCCCTATTGATAGACCATTACTTTACTTGATACAATATTAAAGTATAATGTCAAACAAATTATGAGGTAGGACCAGGAATAAAATAATCCATTAAATAAATAAATATCTTGTTATAACTACACTTTATAAAATAAGACAGATGACGCACTGGCAGGAAATATCAGTGTAGGTCTATAAGACATAGCTATGTTTAGTAATTTGTCCATCTGTATATTTATCTTGATAGAGCTGAAAAAAATGCAAAAGATAAACCAAGGTAGAAATCAACTCTTTGATAAACGTTTTAAAATGGGACTGGGTGTGGAAGTGTACACCTGTAATCCCAGCATTTTGGGAAGCTGAGATGGGAAGATCACTTGAGGCCAGGAGTTTGAGACCAGCCTGAGCAACATAGCGAGACACTATCTCTACAAAAAATACCAAAAAATTTCTAGATGTAGTGGCACATGCCTGTAGTCCCAGCTACTCCAGAGACTGAGGCAGAAGAATTGTTTGAGCACAGGGGTTTGAGGTTGCAGTGAGCTACGATCATGCCATTGCATTCTAGCCCATGTTGATCAAGACCTTGTCTCAAAAAAATTTTTTTAATCTTTTTTAATTTAAAAATGGTAAACAGAATTATATAATGCTCTGTATTTTCTGAAGTAATATTTAAAATACTCAGATCAAATTATACTGCTTAAAAGCTTTGAAAGTCCTATTTTCTCATGTTTTTTTCTCTGTAGTAAAAAAATATTTTTTATTTAAACTGACAGATTCAGTTTATATATGACTATATTTATTCAAGAATAAAGCAGAGTTGCTGGGCACAGTGGCTCACACCTGTAATCCCAGCTACTCAGGAGGCTGAGGCAGGAGGATTGCTTGAGGCCAGGAGTTCAAGACCAACCTGGGCACATAGCAAGACCCTGTCTCTAAAAAAAATAAGAAAAATTAGCCATGAACATACCTGTAGTTCCAGCTACCCAGGAGGATTGCTTGAGCCCAGGAGTTTGAGGATGCAATGACCAACGGTTGTGCCACTGCACCCAGCCTAGGAGACAGAGCAAGACCCTGTCTCTAAAAAAAATTAGAGTTAATTTTAATATGTTAACTACTTTTTCACATTGTGGAAATAAATACTGAGGGTCATTTATGAAAAAGCAGAGTAAATGAACCACTACCCTTAAGAGTCATAAACCTTGAATTTTTCTCCCACTTCTATAGACAGGTACCCAATAACATCATTTTTGCTTTTCTAGAGAAGTGGAGCTGAACAATAAATACTCTCTTCTCTTTTCCTGAAAGTCTCCATATGTATTCTGTTCTGACCAGCATTTTTAGAAGGAGCTTGGATGAGGACATCAGGGACATGATAATCAAATTTGTACGTGAGCAACATTAGGGAGACCTTCACAGCCTTGAATTATGATCTTAATCTAACAAGAAGTCAATAGGATAAATGTAAAGTCCTCTATTAGATCCCCAAACTCCTTAGTATATGTGTGAATTGATGGGAAAAGGGTAAGTGGCTTAATATGAAAAGATATGAAAAGGCCTTGAGATTTCATTCTTTTTATGTTTCATAATAGTAAATGATATAATATGGCTGTTAATAATACTGAAATTTAGAGTTGTGTTAGTAGAATATATATCAAGAGCAACAAAATGCTAGTTCTGCCTCATGTCTACGCTGATGGTTAAATCACACCTGTGGTAATGTACTGAAAAGGAGTATTAACAAAATCTGGCCATGAAGAGAGTAGCCAGGATGGTAAGGAGCTGAAAATTATGACTCATAATATATTAAAGGAACTAAAAATATTTACCTTGAAGGAAAGAAAACATGGGGCAACTATAAAAGTTATCTTTGAATGTTTGAAGAGCTGTCATATTTAAGAGGTCCCAGAAGACGGAACAACAGATTAGTGAATGGAAATTGCAGTGAAACTAATTTCAGCTTAGACTTATATAACCTTGGTTATAGTTAGTTATAGATATTGTTAGTTGCAGAATTTTCAAATGTCTTTATTTATTCTCATTTTATAGCTGAGTTTTAAAAAATCTCATAAATTAAGTGATTTCCCGGATGATGATAAAGCAAATACTGACGGAACATGGTCTTAATTAGCTGTAACTGATTTCAGGAAAAAAAAATAAAAATAAATTAAATGATTTATACAAAGTCACACAGCTAGTAAATTCTAGAGACTCAGTCTAGGTTTTTTGATTGGCAAGTCCAGTAATTGTTCAAGTACATCACATCTGCCGAATAAAAGCTTCAGGGAGATCTTTCAGGTAATTGAAATTGGTTAAAAAATAAAAAATAAAGGAATTGCCTTATGAAGCAGTGAATGCTAGGAAAGGTTCAAAAGAGACTGGAGAATGAATAGCCTGGGATGTTGTAGAAGACAAGCGGTTATCTGATGGGAGTTTGAACTTTGAACTCCAAGATTCCTTCCAACATGGAAATTGCAAGATTCTATGAGGACTTCAGATAGATGAGGAACTAGAAGAAAGGGTCAAGGATTTGTCTATAAGAGATACTTAGTTAGATTAATTTTCCCAGCTGTGTATTTATCTGAACACAACCTGGGGAGGGGAGTGTGGAATGATAAATATAATAGAAGCCTTGATGGAAACTCTTTGTTGGAATAAGTCAGGATACTGGCTTGTTCTGGAACAGTCTAAGTTTGTAGGGAAAAAATGCTCTGAAAAAGAAACTAAAATTTTTTTAAAGTAAGAATATGCTGATCTTTTAGGTGTAGCTAGTGTTCATATGTCTTGGTTTGTCCCTGCCAAAAAATGTATTAGTTTTATAATATCAACATATTTTGATTGGCATCAATTTTCTTTTTTAGAGTTTCCCTATCTGAAGCCCATGCTCGACTGAACTTAAGGAACAAAGTGCTTAAGGAAGATGTACTAATTGCAGCCTTATTATTTGAAACATCTCTCACGTTGAAATATGGTAATGTATTAAATTATTAATGATCACTACAAATAATTTTACCTAAACTTAAATATTCTTAGTCTCTTAAATTAAAATGTTACCTACATTTTTAAAATATTATTTTAAAGAATAATAAATATCGGGTAAGGCCTGTTTGAATTTTAACATTTACTAATTGGTTATAGGTAGTATCATCATCTGATATTAAGTTCCTTATTATACATGATTGTTTCCATACTTGAATTTTTGCATTGCTTAAAGAATTCTGGGGAAAAAAGTAGTTAATACAATATATGAAATAATTTTGTAATAGCTTTAATGATTTTGAAATAACTTCTTTTTAAAATAACATGCAACATGTAATTGTCAGACAATCCCCCACAGTGAAGTTGGGGACAAAGTGAAAGAAAATGTGATCATCTCGTATTGCTGCCTTCTCTGAATTGCTAGTCTTAATACTATGACTATAGAATTTAAATTATTTGAAATGAATGGCACTTATTATGCTTTGGCTAATAAAAACACAAAAGGGCTCTTATAGTAAAGGGTAAGGAGAATTATTCTCCCGAAGTTCTTTGTTGAATTAGATGAGACATTAATTTAGAGATATCATTCTTTAAACCAAACTTTGGTTCCAACCCTGGGACTTAAAGAATGTGTTAACACTAGCTTTTCTGTATGTATGTGTTTAGTGCTTAAATTTGCTTTAAATTACATTTATATTGTATTAACTTTTTATAAAGATTCATTAGAACTTTAGAACCTTGTTCTGTAATTGTCTAAATCAAGCATCCTTAACCTAGGATCCATAGATGCTTGGTGTCCTAGGGGCTTGTGAATCCCTAACTCGTATACAATTTGTATGTGTGTTCCTTATACATTTTCCTTAGGAAGATAGATCATAAGTTTCATGAAGTATGTCTTAGAGATTCATGACCCCCAGAAGAGATTAATTAATTTCCTAAATTAGTTTTATTTACCAAAAGAGAAAAACACTGGTTCCTAACCAATATGAAATAATAGGAAGGATATATAAATATTTTTAGTTTTAATTTCCTTTGTCTTTACATTCTTCTCTTATTCTATACTTAAGACCATATTTCATCAAATCTAAGGCACATTATTTTACATATAAGAAAGAAAAAATGCTGCCAATTTTACTATGACATATCATCAATTGTTAAAACACAACTGGATTTCAGTAAGAAGACAAAAATGTGTGACTTTGAATTGTAAAACAAGGTATAATATTAAGTACTCCTGTGATAGAATATGACTGAATATTTTTACTTGATGACTATTTTTCAAGACTTTCTTGAAGCATTTCAGAAAGCATTTATTGAAGAAAAAAAAACTGTGTGAAGATTTTTTTTTTCCCTTTAGTTTTGTTTTCATAATGAATTTTAGTTAGGTATATTGATTTTTAAGTTTTAAGCAAAACAATGTTAAGAGCTCCTTAAATGTTACTTTAAACATATCAGGAAAATGATCCCTACCAAGGGATAGTTTTCTTGGGTAGGCATGAAACTGACATAGAAAGTAGCAGCAGCCTTTATATGAAGTCATACTTGGGTTTCCTAATGATTATACAGTACCTTGAGTATTAGAATTAATTTACCTCCTTTTTAAATTATTTACATACCATATGTTAAAGTGCAGGCATACTTCATTTCATCGCACTTCATTTTATTGTGCTTTGCAGATATTGCATTCTTTATAAATTGAAGGTTTGTGGCAACGCTGCATCAAGCCAAGTCTGTTGGTGCCATTTTTTCCAACAGAATGTGCTCACTTCATGTCCTGTGTCACATTTTGGTAATTCCCACAGTATTTCAAACTTTTTCATTGTTATTATATCTGTTATGGTGATCTGTGATCAGTGATCTTTGATGTTACTATTTCATTGTTCAGGGGCACCACACACAAACCGTGTCCATATAACACAGCAAACTTAATAAATGCCGTGTAAGTTTTGAATGCCCCCCAACTGACTATTCCCCTGTCTCTCTCCCTCTCCTTGGGCCACCATATTCCCTGAGACACAACAATATTGAAATTAGGCCAATTAATAACCCTACAATGTCCTATAAGTGTTCAAGTGAAGGGAAGAATTACACGTCTCTCACTTTAAATCAAAAGCTAGAAATGATTAAGCTTAGTGGGAAGGCATGTCAAAGGCAGTGATAGGCCAAAAGCTATCTTTTTGCATCAAATGATTAGCCAAGTTGTGAATGCAAAGAATACATTCTTGAAGGAAATTAAAAGTGCTACTCCAGTGAACTCATGAATGGTAAGAAAGCAAACAGCCTTATTGCTGATATGGAGAAAGTTTTAGTGGTCTGAATAGAAGATCAAACGAGCCATAACGTTCCCTTAAGTCAAAGCCTAATCCAGAGCAAGGCCCTAATTCTCTTCAATTCTACGAAGGCTGAGAGATGTGAGGAAGCTGCAGAAGAAAAGTTTGAAGCTAGCAGAGGTTGGTTCATGAGGCTGAAGGAAAGAAGCCTTCTCCTAACATAAAGTGCAAGGTGAAGCAGCAGGTGCTGATGGAGAAGGTGCAGCAAGTTATCCAGAAGATCTAGCTAAGATTGTTGATGAAGGTGGCTACACAAAACAATAGATTTTTCCATGTAGATGAAACAAACAGTCTTCTACTGGAAGATGATACCATCTAGGATTTTCATAGCTAGAAAGAAGAAGTCAGTGCCTGGATCAAAGCTTCAAAAGACAGGCTGACTCTCTTGTTAGGGGCTAATGCAGCTGGTGACTTTAAGTTGAAGCCAATGCTCATTTTCCATTCCAAAAATTCTACGACCCTCAAAAATCATGCTAAATCTACTCTGCCCATGCTGTATAAATGGAAGAACAAAACTTGGATGACAACTCATCTGTTTACAGCACAGTTTACTGAATATTTGAAGCCCACTGTTGAGATCTACCGCTCAGGAAAAAGATTCCTTTCAAAAGATTACTGCTCATTGCCAATGAACCTACCCAAGAGTTCTGATGGAGATATACAAGAAGATAAATATTATTTTTATACTGCTAACACAAGGTCCATTCTGCAGCTCTTTGATCAAGGAGTAACTTTGACTTTCAATTCTTATTATTTAAGAAACACATTTTATAGGTATATAATTGTCATAGATAATGATTCCTCTTCTGGATCTGGGCAAAGTAAATTGAAAATCTTCTAGAAAGCATTCACCATTCTAGATGCCATTAAGACCATTCATGATTCATGGGAGGAGGTCAAAATATCCACATTGTCAGGAGTTTGGAAGAAGTTGATTTTAACCCTCATGGATGACTTTGAAGGCTTCAAGACTTCAGTGGAGGAAGTAACTACAGATGTGGTGGAAATAACAAGAGAACTAGAATTAGAAGTGGATCCTGAAGATGGGACGAAATTGCAACAATCTCATGATGCAACTTGACTGAATCAAGGAGTTCCTCCTTATAGAGGAGCAAAGAAAGTGGTTTCTTTCTTTTTTTTTTTTTTGAGACAGAGTCTCGCTTTGTTGCCCTGGCTAGAGTGCCGTGGCGTCAGCCTAGCTCACAGCAACCTCAAACTCCTGGGCTCAAGCGATCCTCCTGCCTCAGCCTCCCAAGTAGCTGGGACTACAGGCATGTGCCACCGTGCCTGGCTAATTTTTTCTATATATTTTTAGTTGTCCAGATCATTTCTTTCTATTTTTTGGTAGAGACGGGGGTCTCGCTCTTGCTCAGGCTGGTCTCAAACTCCTGACCTTGAGCAATCCACCCGCCTCGGCCTCCCAGAGTGCTAGGATTACAGGCCTGAGACACCATGCCCAGCCAAGAAAGTGGTTTCTTGAGATAGAATCTACTTCTGGTGAAGATGCTGTGGACATTGGTGAAATGACAACAAAAGGATTTAGAATAGTATGTAAACCTAGTTAATAAAGCAGTGGCAGGGTTTGAGAGAATTGACTCCAATTTTGAAAGAAGCTCTAACAGCATTACATGGTACAGAGAAATCTTTCATGAAAGGAAGAGTCAATCGATATGGCAAACGTCATCATTATTGTTTCATTTTAAGAAATTGCCACAGCCACCCAACCCCCAGCAGCCATCACCCTGATCAGTCATCAGCCGTCAACATTGAGGCAAGCCCCTCCACCAGCAAAAGATTAAGACTCACTGAAGGTTCAGATGATTGTTAACATTATTTTAGCAATAAAGTGTTTTTTAATTAAGGTATGAACTTTTTTTAGACATAATACTAAATAGACTTAATAGACTACAGTATAGTGTAAACATAACTTTTATGTGCACTGGGAAAACAAAAAATTTATGTGACTTGCTTTGTTGCAATTTTCACTTTGTTGCAGTGGTCTGGAACCAAAACTACAATATCTCTGAGGTATACCTGTATATATTAAAGTAAAACTGTAAAGGTAATTTGAGGTTAATTATAATTTCAGGATGGATATATTAAAATTATAATGTTATGTGCTATCATAATATGCCTCATAATTATCACTATTTGAATTAAATATTCACGATTTTTTTCAGTCAATAAATATTTATTGAATGATAGCTAGGTGCTAAGCACTAGATATACAATTGTGAAAAAAAACAGACAGTCTCTAACCTGGTAGAGCTTACAGCCTAGTGAGAGAACAGACATCAAAAAGTAAATACACTGATAAATATCTAATATAAATTGAGACAGAAGCTATGAAGAACATCAATATGTTCTGAGAAAGAACAATAGAAAGGTCTTACTTTGACTGGCTTTTACGGAGACCTCTCTAAGGAGGTGATATTTATTTAAGCAGATACCTAAAGGATAAGAAGTCAATGTGCAGGGAAATTACATATGTAGGTGCTTTTAAGAAACTGGAAGCCAGGGTGGCTAAAATATAGTAAGCACAATAGTTGAGGTTAGAGAGGAAAGTAGGGCCAGATCCTGCAGGGCCTCAGACTGCAGTAGAAAATTGGGATTTTATTCCAGGTGCAATGAGAAGCCATTGAAAGGTTTTAGACAGAGGACTAATGTGATCAATTATATTTTTTAAAATATCACATCAGGAGTTGGTATGGAGGGGGTTAAGAGCAGAAACAGGGAGACTAGTTAGAAAATTGTTGTTATAGTCCAGACAATTGATGAGAGATTTGATGAGGGGGAGTCAAGAGAAATTAGTGAATTAGAGATACACCTTGGATGCAAAAACCAACAGGTTGTGCTCATGAGTTAGATTTAGGAGTTGGGTGGGGGAGAGGGAGGAATTAAGGAAAACTCCCAGGTTTCTGCCTTCAGCAACTCGGTGGGTCATGGTGCCATTTACCAAGACTGGGAAGAAAAAGAGAAAGAAAGGTTTGGGAGAAAAATCAAATTATAGGTATAACTTAAAGATATCCTACAGAAGAATTTGTAGCTTGGAAGAGAGTTCTAGCCTAGGAATATAAATTAGAATCATCAGCATAGAGATGTTATTCAAAGCCAAGAAATGAATGAAATCACCTAGAGAGAGACTAGAGGGCACTCCAGGACTGCCCTTGAAGATTCCAATATTTAGAAATGGGGTTGAGGAGAACTAATAAAGGAGACTGAGAAGCAGCGGGTTAGAATGTACGAAGTGTGGTACCAGAGCCAAGAAAGGAGAGTGTTTCCAGAAGGGAGCAGAATGGTGAACTGTCTCATATGCTACTGAGAGTTTGAGTAAGATTAGATTTGGTAACCTAGTGGTTTTAGGTAGCCATGATCAGAACTATTTCAGTGGAGTGGGAATGGAGGTGAGACAGCACACATAGACAATTTTGAGATGAGGAAAGAAATGGGGCATTAGCTAGAGAAGGAGGAGTGGTCCAGGAAAGGATTTTGTTTTTAAAGATAGAAGGTATTAAATCATGTGATGTGCAGTGGAGAGTAAATTAATGATACTGTAGAAGAGGGGGAGATCCAGGAGTGAAGTCCTAAAAAGGTGAGAGGGGATGGGATCCAGGGCACATGTGAAAATACTGGCTTCTGATAGATGAGTCACTTCCTCATTTTATAGAAGAAAACAGAGTGGATACAGAACCAGGTAGGTTTGTAGATTTGGTCATGTACCTTACTCAGGATCACCAGCTGAAAATGAAAGGTTTGAGGAGAGAACAATGGAATATAATAGTCATTGTGGGAGCTAGAGAAGTGTTCTAGGGAAACTCAGCAGGGTTGCCAGGCAGTGCAAGTGATTGTTTGAAGTTATTGATTCATTTAAAATGAAAAGAAGAAATGCCAGTTGTGTGATTTTCTGCCTAGCAGCCTTAGCGCCAGCAAGAGCGAATGGTTGGGTTCATGCAGTGCTGCAGAGGGGCAAGGAAGTGGGGGGGCTGGAAAGGGAGGGACTCTTTTTTTTTTTTCTTAATTATTCCAGGGTTTTGTGAGGGTACAAATATTATAGTTACACTTTATGTCTTTACCTCACCCAAATGCGGGTTAAAGGCATGCCCTTCGAGGGAGGGACTCAGGCTGGTTAAGGAGGGAAGTGAATGGGAGGAAGCAGATGAGAGATCTCTGAGTTAGAAGACCTGGAACAGCAACTGAGCTGGACGCGTAGGAGGTAGTGTAGGGGAGTGGATTTTGAAGATACCAGTTTCCAGTGACTGTGGGAATGTGTGGCTGAGGTAGAGGATAAAAGGTAGGACACAGGGAGGTCAGGAGTTAAATGGGTAATTCACATGGAAATCACTGAATGTCAGATATTAAGGAAGAAAGGAAGGCTGTGCACCAAATGCTAAGAACTGGTAAGTTGACTGTGGAAGGGGAAAAAGTTGTAAAGCTAGGTGGCACTGAGCATGAAAGAAAAGATTTTTACCTCCCGAGAGGGAAGCAGGGGAAAGAATGGTCTCAAAGCAGCAGAGGGGTAGCAATGGTACTCCTGGCCTGCCACACTTAAGTACTCATTCAATGAATCAATGAATAAAACAGAATAGAAGAGCTTAGCTCCTATAGTAAAAGTCAATGTTTCTAAAATACCCATAAAATCTACTGTCTTAACCATTTTTAAGTGTACAGTTCAGTGGTGTTAAGTATATAGGCACATTGTTGTGCAATCGTCACCACCATCATCTCCGGAAGTTTTTTATCTTCCCGAACGGAAATCTGTACCCATTAAACACAAACTCCCCATTTCCCTCTCTACCTAGCCCCTGGCAACTGTCAGTCCATTGTCTTTATGAATTTGACTATTCTGGGTACCTCATATAAGTGGAATCATACAATATTTGTCCTTTTGTAACTGGCTTCTTTCACTTAATGTTCTCAAGGTTCATCTATATTGTGCATGTATTAGAATTTCCTTCCTTTTTAAGGCTGAATATTATGTAAATTATAATATGTATACACCACGTTGTTTATCCATTCATCTGTCGGTGGACACTTTGGTTGCTTCCACCTATGCTATTGAATACTACTATGAACGTGAATGCACAAATACCCCTTTGAGATTTTGCTCTCAGTTCTTTTCGGTATATACCTGGAAGTGAAATTTTGCTGGATTATATGGTAATTCTGTTTAATCTTTTTGATGAACTACCATACTGTTTTCCATAGTGGATGTACCATTTGCATTCCCATCACTGCACAAGGATTCCAATTTCTCCACAAATTACCAACACCTGTCATTTTCTGCTTTTTATTTTTACCATAGCCATCCTTATGGGTGAGAGGCAGCATCTCATTGTGGTTTTGATTTGTATTTCCCTAATGATCAGTGATGTCGAGCATCGTTTTCATATGCTTATTGGTCATCTGTTTATCCTCTTTGGAGAAATTTCCCTTTTAATCCTTTCCCCATTTGTTTTTTCCTGAACCCCGGTCTCCTGCATGACCCCCATTTTAAAAATCAGGTTGTTCTCTTTGTTATAGACCCCTTTATCAGAGATAAGATTTACAAATAATTTCTCCTATTCCATGGGTAACCTTTTCACTACTGATTGTATCTACTGATGCAGTTTTAAGTTTTGATGTGATCTAATTTATCTTTTCTTTTGGTGTCATATTTAAGAAATCACTGTCAAATCCAAACTCATTAAACTTTCCTCCTGTTTTCTTCTAAGTTTTATAGTTTTAGCTCATATATTTAGGTCTCTGTTGCATTTTGAGATAATTTTTGTACATGATGTAAGCTAAGGGTCCAAGATCATCTTTTTCCATGTAGATATCCAATTTTCTCAGCACAATTTGTTGAGAAGTCTGTCCTTCCCCCAAAGAATGGTCTTACCACCCTTGTTGAAATTCGATTTAATTATATATGTAAAGGTTTATTTGGGGGCTATCCTATTCTATAGATTTATATATCTGCCTTTATGCAAGCAGTTTTAAGAACTGAGAAATGTACTGCAATGTTTATCTTTGATCATCCACTTAATCTTTATCAAGATTAGTGTATCGCCACATTCCAATACATTTTCTCCCTATCACCTCTTCACATTACTATTCAGCTTCAAAACTGTAATGATTTTTATAATTTCCAAGCTTTAAAATGTAAACAACATACTTCTTCCATAGGCCCTGGTACTAATATTTGTGCATTTTACTGAAGCTGCTTCCTGGGTTTCAAAAAACAAGTGTCAGATTTAAAATGATTACTGAAACATATTTTGCGTGATAGTGTGATTCCACATTTTAGAGTATTCCTCATTTACACTGTATTTCCTTTTTCATTTAGGGGCCACTGTATTTTGTGTCGCTCCAAATGCAGTATTTCCATTTGACTTGTATGATGAAGAGTATTTAGAGCAAAGGGATCTCTATCTAACTCAGTGCCAGCAACAGCTTGAACAATTTATTGCCACATATGGACCTGGGACAGCTATTTTCTCTAGTGATGAATAAGTAATTTGAGGATATTTTTCTTCATTCCTACTTAAGCAGTGGGAAAGTGTGAGTATTTGAGAGTGACTTTCAAGTAATGCTTCAGATAATACTGTAAATAGTACATTAGAATACTACTTTTAAAAATATAAAGTACAGTGTCCTCAAGATTAATTGCTAATGAGATAAATATTAATCCAAACTCCCATAGCCACCAGCAGACTTTTAAAACTTGGAACAATGTGGACAAATTACAAGTGATAAAGTTGTCAAGAATACTGTTTTTTTAAAAAAAACCCTTCTGGTTAGCCCAGAATATCAATGGTGAAGAGATAAAAAATGTAAGAATGTTGTAAGCTAAGCAGTGTGAAAAATGGTAACTTTTATGTAGTTTGCTCTATTTGTCACAGATTGCCAGCAACACTTTATCTACCAACAACTTTAAACTATTTTTCCCTTACACTTGTGAACTTGCCAAACGAATGAGTAAATAACTATAATTATATAACTTTTTGTCTCTTTGCAATAGATCAAAAATTTTTTAAAATTAAAAAATTAGATAACTTTAAGCTTCAAGTTTATGGCCATTTCATACTTTATTTTTGACATGTCCATTACGTACTGTTTCAGAAGCCCTACATATGGAGTCAGGAAAAGCCTTGGGAATTTTCCTTATATATACATAAGCATGCCAGGTAAAATGAAAATTTACATGGAATCGAGGAGCCTATAATTTATAAATTGGCTCGTTAGCCCTGACTACTTACAAGAAAAGTTCCGAAAACCAAAGAAATCAATTTGCAAGCCCAGTCTTCACTTTTGGAGGAAAGGTCATCTGTTCTGAAAAGGCAGGGACATTGTGAGAAAACATACCTATTTTGTAAAATTCTTAAATCTTTTTCAGTTCTCACTTTTCAAAGCTTTAATAAAAGATCACTTCTATTCATAGAAAAGCAAAATATCACCAGATTGCCACTTTGTTAACCAAGATGCTACCATGAATCGAATCTTTCAAAATTGGCACTTCAGATCTTCTTAACCAAAACTTAGGACTTGCCCACTCTCTATAGGATCTAGAAGTCACTATCATTGAACACCTGCTGGTGCCAGCTAGGGACCATAGAATTAGTTTTCAGAAGGCAAAGCTAGTTTTTAACAAAATATTTATACATTACAATTTGATATTATTAGCAAGACCCTTATCCTGTGCTTCTCATGTACATCTCAAACTTTTCTGGTTCTCTATGGGATGAAGGCAGAACACTTCCCTATCTTATAAAACTAGGATCCATAAAATAGCCTTCATTTTACTATTGGGAAGTACAGAACACAAATGATTTTTACATGTTGCCTCTGATGGGAAGTATAATATTAGAATGTTGCTGTACAAATTTTACATTGTTTGATTTACCATATGCAAATTGCATCCTTGATAAAAGCAAGGAATTTAAAAGGAGAAAAAGATTTAGCTAAACTTAAGCCTCGCCCAGGTAGAAATTCAGTTTTAGGATTCCTGTCAATTCTTTTTATCCTAGACATACCTGCCTGCCCAGCCGCTGTTTCTTTCAACGTAGCATAATTGCTAATTATTACATGTACTAGGATTAGGATTACTTTTTTGTTCACAAAGATGAAAGCAAACTAAAGAATAAAATTTAAATTTTAAATACAATCTGTAGATCACAGAAAAGTAAAATTTTACCTGTAAGGGACAATTTGATTGCATTAAGGAGGTAAAGATTCCAAGCACCTGTTTTTCAGGTATAATAGCAGGTTATGAAGGGAAGGTCAGATATCAAGTATGCAGTGATGAGGTCTCCAGAAATTTCCAAAGGCTAGCTAGGGAAACTGGAAGCACAAGAAATATCTCCTTACTGTCTACCTCAATTGAGAACCATCACCCACAGATGAGCCAGTTAACGACAAGAACATTATATCCTTAAAGTATGTTAAAAATAGATTTGACTAGTAGTGACTATGAGAATGGCGCTATTTTAAAGAAAAGACTTTACTGCCCAGCAATTAAAATAATTAGTGGAAGCATCTATTTTCTACATAATTTATTGTGATGTTAATAATATCAAGCAAAACATTCACTTTCATCACTTATTTCTGTTCATCTGTTTTCTTGAACAGTCTTCATTCCTTCCTCCAAAATAGTTCATGCCACACCTCCAAAAAAATCAGAAACAGTGAAAATCATTCCATAATCAAAGATAAAGTTATCATATAACCTCAATATTTATAAGTGCCCTTAAAAAAATTAATGCTGAGAAAAGGAAACCAAACTCTGATATGCAAAGACAACTTCGACAGGAATTGGACCTGACCCTGTGAAGTTTTATCAGACATTTCGGAACTGTCAACAGATATGGTTGCTTCACAAGTCACAATTACTTACTTGAGGCAATGAAGAAATATTTTTAAAAACCGCAGCTGAAGCACACTCCTCTGCAGCTACCTATATGCTAAAGAGAAAGAACATTTCGCCTCTTAATAAAAAATCGTATTACATCCATTAACATAACCAACACAGATTACTGGCAACTCAGTCTTAAAATTATCTCTTCAAAGACACCCTCAGCTGGGTAAACGGCAAAAAGTAATTTAAGTCATCATTGTGCCAGGTATTAAACCTATCAATATCAAGAACACATTAAACATTTTGGGGTACTGCCCCTTAGTAACAATAGCACAAAGACCAAAAAAAAGCACACAACATTAACTTTTGGTACCTTAATGCACGCAGTGGTGGTCCCAGCTTTTTCACTGCCATCTTCTATAGGTTTTTGGAAAACATTTGTCACAATGACCTTCATACATCTTCAAAACTCATAGGCTTTTTCCCACCTGGAAATTGAATATTTCATTGTCAATTCCCGTTTGTACTTGCATTTGTTTGTTTGGTATGTTATATGAAGGAATGGTCTCATAAGAGAATTTCATTCCTATAAGGAACCATAAAACACCATACTTGCAACCTACCTTTTGGGACTCCAACACTTTTTAATAAAAGTACTAATATCTGTTGTTCAATATATCTCTAATGGAATAAAGGAATATAATTCTTGTTCTATTACTTTTTGACAGTTGTAACTGACAAACTCCAAATTTAAAACATCTATAATGACTTGAGTATGTCAATTCCTTTGACTGATTAGCACCGAATAAGTCCATAAACGAGCTTTTTCTCAAGCAGGAAAAATGGTGTAAACATTTTATGATAATCATCACAGTTCTGATTTTAAGACACAATGGTCCTAATGAGTACACTGCCATTGCTTTTCTGTCTCAGAGATTCACTAGGATGAGCTAAGCCAGGTTAAAGGTTAGATGTGTAGAAACTTGTGTGCAGATTTTCACCTAAAAACATTACAATGTCAAATTATTGGGCATATTCTTGTAGAATTAAATCCCAAGTTAACTGAATGTACACAGAATCTGTGTACCTGTGCAAAGGACATTGCCAGGGCCACAGATCAAGCCATACAGCACCCCAGGTGTATAAATCATTGAGCCAGACAAGTACTGGAAATAATTTATGAAGACATACAAATTAGGACCCTGCTAAACAATTTTTCATTTTCACATCTTGAAATGCTGTAATATTTCACATAATCAATATGAGGAATACAAACTATTGGCTGTGAATAATTCTGATTTGGAAAATTTCAGTTTAATATTATGAGTCACAGGAACTACAGACAACTACATGCATACTTGTATATTTTTATAAAGCTTAAGAAAACGTATGCTTAGAGATGCATGTGTATAATTAAACTGCTATCCATTCCATTACCACTCTCCCCAACAACCAAGAGACTGATGGGCACAAAATTCCAGATGATGTTTACCTCTAGCTGGGAGGCAGCGTAATGGGAGTGGGAGACAAATAGACCACAGTACTGGTAATATTACAGCTCCTAAATGCATCAGTAGGTTCTTTTTTATTTATTATGCTCCAGAATTTTCACTCACTCCTCTATTTTTATCGAACACTTCGCTTGGAAATTTCTAGAAATCCCACCACTTAGCAATGAAAAAGGAATTCAAGCCACATATGGCTCGAAATTAAGGATGAATGCCAAATAAATCCAAAACCACCACATTAGTCCTGTTGAAAGCTAACTGTTAATTGCAGATAAAGCAACGTATTTCAAATTTGGGAGCAAGGAAAAAAACCACATGAATATACCAAGTCTCACCAATGCCTTACCAGTTTTACAATTTGTTTTTGAATAGGTAGCATGTTTTGCCAGTCTGCTAGCGGTTGACCATTTTATGCCCAGAAATGCGTATCTCCATGTAAACACAAGCATCTGCATGTGTAGCGGGCATTTACAGCCTAAGGGCCTTGTCTCACAACATATTTACAAGGAAGATCAGCAACAAACGCCAACTAGCTCCACTAATGTCTGGAGACCCGTACGGACCCACCGTCAGCAGTTAAACTGCGTTTATTAAATAAAATTTAAAAACCACACACAAAGTGCGGTTAACGAAGGGTCGTCTTATCACCTAAGAGATAATCACCTACCCCTTTATAAAATGCTCCCTTATTAGGGAAAAATAAGCCGCCCACTTAGAGGAACCTGAAACCGCCAAGGCCGCACGCACAGCTTTGCCGGAGACACAAAGGGGACCGGCGAAGGCCGGGCGGAGCACGAAGCCATCTGGCCGTTCCTTCGGGTTCCCTTGAGTCACAGAAGGCCCTTTACTAGTTTCTGAGCCGACAGTCAAAATCAGTTTATGGAGTAAGCTCTAGACTCACAGGCGGTTACTCACAAACCCGACTGCTCAGATGGCGCAGAGCGTTAGCCCGTGGCCCTTGGGGCGCGGGGAGCGTTGCCTCCTGCGCCAACCCTGCGGCTGCCGGCGGCTCGGCTGGGCCCGGGCAAGGGACGGAGGCCGCGGGAAAGAAGGCGCCGCACTCGGTACCCACAGAGCGGAGGAACGCGTACGTAGGAGAGGAGGAACTAACACCGCGATGACTCTCACCTCCAAGAGCCCAGCTACGGGCGCGCAAGCTCAGCCGCCGTCCCGCCGGCATAACGCACGCTCTTGCCCTAACCCTACTCCCTCGGCGGCAGCGCGGAAAAGGAAGCGCGGCGTTTGGGGGCAGCTCTTGAGCCTTCGGAGTTGGCCCCGCCCCTTCCGGTCCATGGCCCCGCCCCTCCGGGTGAACAGTCGGGGCTAGTGCAAGGGGTAGGTGCTGGAGTCTGTAACTCGTATTTAAACCGGGGAGCTGTGTAACTTACCTAGAGGTTTTTTTTTTTTGAGACAGAGTCTCACTATGTTGCCCGGGCTAGAGTGAGTGCCGTAGCGTCAGCCTAGCTCACAGCAACCTCAGACTCCTGGGCTCAAGCGATCCTACTGCCTCAGCCTCCCAAGTAGCTGGGACTACAGGCATGCACCACCATGCCGGGCTAATTTTTTTTCTATATATTTTTAGCTGTCCAATTAATTTCTTTATATTTTTGGTAGAGACGGGGTCTTGCTCTTGCTCAGAGCTGGTCTCGAACTCCTGAGCTCAAACAATCCGCCGGCCTGGGCCTCCCAGAGTGCTAGGATTACAGGCGTGAGCCACCGCGCCCGGCCTACCTAGAGGTTTTAAAGGCTTGTGAGTACTTCAGCTAGAGCTATTTTACTGAATATGCAAATGAGTTATCTACTCGGTGGCAAATGAGCAAAAAATGCTCTAAAAAAGAAGGGTCTCAGGCCGGGCTCCGTGGCTCACGCCTGTAGTTCCAGCACCTTCGAAGGCTGAGGCTGGAGGATCACTGGAGGCCGAGAGTTAAAGACCAGCCTGGGCAATATAGCGAGACCCCATCTCTACAAAATTAGTGGGGCGTGGTGGCGCATGCCTGTAGTCCTAGCTAGTCAAAGGCTGGGGCGGGAAGATCACTCCAGCCCAGGAATTCGGGATTACAGTGAGGTATATGATTGGGCCACTGCACTCCAGGCTGCAGAGACCCTATCTAAAAAAAAAAAAACAAAAAGGAAGGGCCTCCCATTCCTGGTCCATTACTTGGTCTTCTTCTCTCTGACCATATTTCAATTTAAAAAACTGGTAGTACTGGACAGCCTAATTAGAGTAAGAGTTCTGGAATTGGCCCCTTCACACACAGAAGAATCAGTTACAAAAACAGGAAAACCTATAATATTTTCCCTATATTATAACGATAGCTATTGTTACTATTTTATTGATAATAGCAAGTATTACAAAAGCATTCATAAAGCAGTTTACGAACATGTTATAATTTACTATTGATTTTCATGTCTTACTACTCTTGCATCTCTCAAGCAGTATATATTGAGACCTGGCTGCAAAGCACTATGCTTGGTGCTGGAGGAAAAAGGATTATGATCTTGTTACCAGAAGGAATACACATGAAAGCATATAATTAAACAACTGAATCAGTAAAAGGTCATCTCTCCTTTAAAACCTGGAATCTAAGAAACTGATACGAAATCCAGTACAAAATATAAATTTGCCTCAAAGGAACATGAACATCTAACCAGGCAAAACAAATTGTGATTGTACCTACTTTAACAAAGGATTCCTCTCTGTATAAAGGGTTTTCAAAGTGCTTTACAAGGGTTTAAAAATCTCTGGGCCCCAAGGGAAAGATGTTTCTTCTGTTAAGTCATTGTGTGGACTTCAGTCTACTTCACAGACTTGGATTCTTGGGTGGATATTGCTCCCACAATCTGATTTTGCAACCTAGGCAATCACCTCCAATCCTTTGCCTGCAACTGTGTGGGCAGCTGTGGGAACCACCATTACTGAAAGGTGTAAAGGAGGGTGAGTTTGGACACTAAGCCGGTAGATGCTATGGCGACAATTTAGGCAAATTCTTGGTGCCACTGAGCCCAGGGCCATATGAGAAAGAACTGAAGGCAAACATGGCCGCTCCCCCTGCCACAGTTCCCTACAGGATAGCTCCTGAGTTCTTGACAGCTCTCTGTTGCCTTCTTCTGCCAATGCTCACAAGGCATTCATCAGTTTCTACGGTGAGGAAAATAGCTGAGCTGGGTGGATAGATATGGAAAGAGCCACTGCCTTATTGACTTAATATGTTTTTTTCTTCAGACCAAATACAATTAAATATCGTGACTAAAATGTAGGTGTTCTTAAAACTGCACAGCTGCCCATTTTCAGGTTATCATTTTATGTCAGTTATTTTAATTGATTAATAATGTCATTAAATAAATGTCTGTTTTCAATTGCAAGTAAAAAAATATGCAACTAAAGTAGGTTTTTAAAAAATGACTGTATTATTCCACATTACAAGAAATCCAGAAGTAGGTGGCTGTAGGATTGGTTAATTCAGGAGTAAAACATTGTCAGGGCTTCTGACTTCTCTGAGATTCTTAGTTTTCTCTTAATAGTTGCAGAAAGTCTCACAAAGCTGTAAACATCACGTTTTTATGTAACAATATCCAAAGGCAGGAAGGAAGGACATTTATTTTCATGTGTCTCTCTTTTAACCAGAGTGGAAAATCTTTCCCAGAATGTCCACCGTAGACTTCTCTTTAGGTGCCATTGGCCATGATTGGGTTATAAGTTCAGGCATTATCAGCTTATGATGTGGGAAGGTGAGCCCTGACAGAAAAGGGAAGGGAGTGAGCTGTCAGGTAGGCTACCAGCAGTGCCTCCCACAAAGGGGAATCTTAACCATAAGGTTTGGGGATATTGCTGTGAATCTCGTGAGCTCCCTTCTCGTTACTGTACAAAGGAAGAGGAGAAAATTGCAGGGGCATGATGAAAGATCTAAGATTTCTGAGAAAGAATGGGTACAGATTTTCAGTTTAACTTCTGCTTTAAAAGTGGCCACAAAAGCAAAAACAACTTTTCTTTAACACAGCTTTATTGACATACAGAGACTGCACATAATGAAAATGAAAACTTGGATAAATTTCGACATATGTATCCACCTCTGATACTCAAGATAGTGAACATAGTTATTGTCCCCAAATATTTCCTCGTGCCCTTTGCACGATCTCCCTCACACCACTCCCCTCGTCCACCAGGCAACCACTGATTTGCTTTCAGTCACTATAGATAGTTGACTTTTTCTTTAATTTGTTTAAATGAAATCATACAGAATATACTCTTTTTTACAGTGTTATTGAGGTATAGTGGATATACAAAAAAACTGGACATATTTAATGTATTCAATCTGATGAGTCAGTACATACTCTTTTTTGTCTGGCTTCTTTGACTCAGCATAATTATTTTGAGATTCGTGCATCCTGTTGTGTGTACAACAGTCAATTCCTTTTTATTGCTGAGTAGTTGTCCCTTATCTAGACATACCACAATTTGTTATCAATTGACCTGTTGTTTGCTTATTAATTTTTGGCTATTTAGCAGCCATTCCCACTTCTTTTGATAAAAACATATACTGAGAATGCCCAAATTTACATCTCCGCCCAAGACCTCACCTCTGAGCTCAACACTCGTATACTTTCCTGTCTCACCATCCCCAGTGCTGAGGGTAAGGGCATGTAATGAGCATGGACCTGACTTTTGGCCTTTCATTTCCTTTTTCTCTCTCTCTTTTTCTGTGGAAACCTTTGTATTTCTTCTTCATCCCTATTAAAGGCTCCCTTCCTTCCTTGAGTTCATTGCTAGTTTCCTCTTCTTACATAAAACTTAATGTTCACACCTTTAAGCTTTGCTCTTTGTAAAGGGATTTTTGGAATTTAGAATTCCCCTTTCTCTTTCAAGTCTATTTCCAAAAGAGCTTAAGAAAAGCAATGTAGAGACTCAGAATTGCCTTATAATCTTGATTACTAATGTCGACAGCTTCCCATTATACTTAAAAAATATCCACCTGCATATATTGCCAATTGATTTTCAACAGGGGTATCAAGATTATTCTATGAGGAAAGGACAGACTTTCCAACAAATTGTACTAAGAAAACTGGATATCCACATGCAAAAAAATGAAGTCTGCCCTTACCTTACATCATATACAAAAATAAACTCAAAATAGATCAAAGAACTAAATGTAAAAACTGAAATTATAAAACTCTGGAAGAAAACATAAGGAACAATCTTCATGACATTGGATCTGGCAGTGATTTCTTGGGTATAACACCAAAAGCACAGACAACAAAAGGGGAAATGGATAAATTAGATTCCATCAAATTAAAAATGTTTGTGCATCAGACACTGTCAAATGAGTGAAAAGACAATTCACAGAATGGGAGAAAAGATTTGGGAAGCATATATCTGATAAGGGATCAATATTCAGAATACATAAAGAACTTTTACAACTCAACAACAAAAATACATAACAAACCAATTCAAAAATGGGCAAAGGATATAAATGGATATTTTTCCAAAGAAGATATACAAATGGCTAATAAGAACATGAGAAATATGCTCAACATTACTAGCTGTTAGGGAAATGCAAATCAAAACTACAATGAGATACCACTTCAGAAGCATTAGGATGGCTATTATAAAAAAAATAACAGAAAATGACCAATATTGACAAAAATGTGGAGAAATTGGAACCCTTGTGTATTGCTGGGAGAATGCAAAATGGTGCAGCCACTGTGGAAAATAGGGTGGTTTCTCAAAATTTAAATGCAGAATTACCATATGGCCCAGCAATTCCACTTCTGGGTATATATATACCCAAAAGAATTAAAAGCAGGAACTCAGTTACTTGTACACCAACGTTCGTGGCACCATTATTCACAATAACCAAAAAGTTGAAACAACCCAAATATCCATAGATGGATAGATTAATAAACAAAATGTGGCATGTACATACAAAGGAATATTATTTTGCTTTAAAAAAGAAGGAAATTCAGATACCTGTTACAATGTGGATAAACATTGAAGACATTGTGCTAAGTGAAACAAGCCAGACCAAAAAGGAGAAATAATGTATGATTTCACTTATATTAAGTACTAGAATAGGCAAATTCATAGAGACAGAGTAGAATGGTAGTTGTCAAGAGCTGGGGGGAGGAAGAAATGAGTTTAATGGGTACAGAGTTTCTGTTTGGGATGATGAAAACGTTCTGGAAATGACGGT